CATACTGGTTTTTGTTTTGTTTGTACTGAGGTTTGAACTCAGGGTCTTGTGCTTGCTAGGCAGGTGCTCTACCACTTGAGGCACACCTCTAGCCCAAACATCTCCTTTTAAGTCATTATGTGCTTCTACCTGATCTGAGCTTAAATACTTTTCCATTTTTATATTGTCTCGGTCTGAAATTTTACCACTTAGAAGCTATGTTACCCAAGGCAATTCGCTTAACGTCTAAGTTCTAGTCTCCTTACTTAGAAAATGAGACTAAGCCACTTGCCATGTAGGGTTGATGTGAGGATTAAATGGAATAATGTATACAAAGTACCCAGCATGCAGCATGAGGTAACTGACATCGTGCCTCATATCAACTTTATTCATCTTCTACCTATCAGCTTCTGATTGCTTTTTAGGGAAAAAAACCATGAAAAATTTCAAGCATGTAAAGAACAGACATAATGTACATACCCACTATTCATCTTTAGAACTAAATTATAGATGCAATTCAAGTGGTCTGTGCACTTTCCGACATTTCCTGCTCCTCTCCTCTCACTAGAGGGAACCATAGTCCTAAACTTATTTTTATCATTTCTAGGAATGTTTTCACACTTTACAACATATCTATAATAAAGAAAAAATGGTTCCACTGCATCTTTCCTTTAATGAATGTATAAATGTCCCATTTGCATAATGGCAAATTCCTTCATACCAATTCCATGAGCTCCCCATCATGTTAGCTATTTACATGAGCACGGGTTCTTCCCCTTTTTATATAAGAATAGCAATTCTGCATAAATATGGCAAGAAATGGTTTCCCTCAAATGGTAGATTTTCTGTGGTGTTTCGAGAAATTTCTGTTGTAATTCTGTATGCTATAATATTAGTGACTGCATTTATGTATGTTAGGAATTTAATTTTATAAATAACAGTAGAGATTTCTTCAACCATTATGATTTAATATTTGTTCCACAATTGATTTAAAGATTTTCAGTGATACCTTGTTTGCTTGATTCTGGTTAGTGGTAGGTTTTTTTGTGTGTGAATTTTATATCCCTTCAGATGATGAGAGACTTGATGGAGTCTTCATAGAACTAAATTTCTATTTTCTTATTTATTTACATGTACAGGATGAAAATTAAATTAAAATACTTTAGGTGTTTCTCAAATGTACTTCTAATATAATTTCTGCTATTTTGCCTGTATCTTTTTGTCATTTATAATAACACATTCATTCAACTGTGCTTTGCCTCTAATATGTTATTAACTAGGCAAAGCACAGTTGAATGAAATTCACAGAAAATTTTTATTAAAATCTTTTTGATGATGGCTCTCTTGAAATTTGGACATTGGTGGATTTCTGTTCTCCCCTTGCTGAAGGTGTAAAGTTCCAGTGAACTTCTCCCTTTGGGTCTGTAGGTGGCAATATCAAACCAGAAATACTCTCAACAATTGCTCTTGAGAAGGCATCCAGCCTTAAAAAAGTATGATTGCACACAGGTACCTTGTTTGAAAAGTAAAGTATTACCTGAATTCGGATATATAATCAGACCCCAACCTTGCTTTGTCCCCATATTTACATATATTCCAATGGCTGCCTCAGTCTTTTGTTGTCACCTGTGTGAGGTCTTTTGGGATTTCCCCTCTCTCTCCCCTGCTGACTTGCTAAGGTAGCTTTTCGCTCTTCCTGGGAATAACTTCTCCCTTACAAAAATACCCACTTCCTCCCCATGCTTCAGAGTTGCAGGTGGGTGTAGTGTCCTTCTTTTACAGGAGGGAGAGGGTTAAAAGCGAGCACTGGGGGAAAAAAGAGTTGGCTCTAAGATCTGGACCTCACTTCCGTCTCAGTAGCAACAACTACCACAAACACCTTGAGTACTTTGTTTCTTGCTAGTTTTCGTCACTCTCTGTTTACCATTGCTGCCAGCAATGATGAGTTTGAGAAAACCCCCCAAAAACGTGTACTTGGGGACAAGGAGCATAGAAAAAATTCTAAGTCTCAATTATTAAGTTTTCTTTGTGTTGTTGGGGAACCAGAGGAGGGAATGAGAACAATCACCAAAAGTGGTGGGGACACAAAAAGCAGACAACCTAATCTTGGGAACTGGGAAATGAAAAAGGGAGAGCACCCCTGGAATTGTCCACTGTCTAGAGGTCATGGTATCCCAACTCCCATTTGTAGGCCACAACAATTCCCAGGAAATCCTGGTGGGGAGGAAATGAGGTGGGCACCCTCTGCTGGGTAACATCATGATCAAGTTAGAAATCTACACAAAAATTCCATACAAGCACTGCTATGTGAGGTGGGTAAGGCCATAGTGTTATTATAATGTTGAGTAGTTTCGTCCAGCTTTCCAGTCCAACCCAGAATGTAATAGAGCCTCATCTACCATGCATTCTATGAGAAAAATGTATGTTGAGTTTTAACAACATTCACACACCTAGAACTGCTTCTAATGAATCACATCACATATTCAGAACATGTCAAACTTCAAATGCAAGTCTTAACCCACTGCCATTTAAACAGGCTATGTAAAATTAAAAACTGCATTTTGAAGACAGATTGTTCTTTGGTATAGTAATATGCATTTGTATATTTTGTGCACAGTGATATTAGTTGGTGTATTCAACTTAGTGAAGTAAATGCATCTTTTAGGATCAATTTATCATAATAACAGAGTGTCTCTATAAGACAACTTTTTTTGTTGCACTGGTAACATTTTCTTGTTTCGCCAATAACCTGTGTTCTAATCTAAGACAGTGATCTCCTCTTGAAAATTTTTAAAACTCACCTTAATAGTATTTAGCAAGCCTAGAAATTAGAGTCCTTCATGGAAAGCAATAAAAAAGTGTCCCGAACCATTTGCTTTTAATTATTGTAACCTTTAATCAATAAAAGCAGACTAATGGCAAGTGGCAGTCATTCAAACATGGAAGAAACCTAAGACTTGCTTACCAAACTGAAATTAGGACAGCAATTCTCCCCAGATTGTATTTCTACTCAAATGCACTCTCCAAGCCCAAGTTATTTTCCTAATTATAGTTTATATGTGCTGAATTTTAAACCTCTTTATCTACTTCATGCTCTCAACTGGAAATTAAACATCAATTGAATATCCATTAAGTTGGAAATCACAGGTACTCATAGCTTTTAAAGATTAGATTTTAACAAGGTATTTGTTTTGGAATAATGATGCATGGATTGACTTCTTTAAAGTTTACAAAATCTGTTTCTGTAGAGAGACAGGGTGGTGCTGTGGAAACATCTGAGGCTTTGACTTTGAACCTAGGTATGAAGCTGACCATAGCTACTTAGGAGCTGTCACCCTTCCTGAATCTCAGGTTTCTCATCTGAAAAATAGAGATAACACCTATGTTGAAATGTTGCTGTGACTATTAAGGAAGAACGAATACACTTAAAGATCTTAGCATAAAATAGTAGCCTTACAAACCCCACTAATTTAATCTGCACAATTTTATTACAAAGTAGATTTTATCTCTCTTTTTACTAATGAGTCAATTGAGGCTCAGGCAACTCATCCAGGGTTGCCAAATCTGCTTTATAACTCCAAGTCCAGGACACTTCCTCCTCCACTGCAGCTTTTGAACAGAACTGTGAAAATTGATAAAACAATCAGCCAGCAGTGAGAGTTCGGCATTACCATCTATACATGATCTAGCTTCCAGGAAGGCAGCCATTGTCTGCCCTGTTTTCCTCTGATGTACACATGTTACTGCATGAGTCAAGGCTGCTAGTGTGTTAGCTGCAACTCCATCCTTGGTTATTCCCAGAAGCCCAAGGAAGGAGAGTGTTTATTACTAACAGGGATCATCTGCAATCTACTCCATTCCCACCTCCCCTACTGCTTTATTACCCACAGCAAGTTTTTTGGAACGTACTTCACAAGTTGTGGCAACACACCACAATTGGGAACCACTGCAAAAGATAAGATCTAGGAAGAATAAGTAGGCCACTTTTCAGTAGGGGGTTCATGGTGAGAAAGAGTGGTGAGGCCAATAACAGTCTAAAAATTTAGGACCTGACCTTGTAAGGCACTTAGAAGTTCTTGAGGAGGAATGCAATGGGACTGCAATGACAGTCTGCAGGATTTGGAACTGGATGGTTATGTATTACATAGATAGCCATTGAGGTCAAGTGCTCAAGGGAGACAGCAAAGATTTCAAGACATATTGTCAAGCAGTAGGTTTCTTTCTCTAATTATACTTTTCTTAAATGCATATTAAAATGACCTTGCTGCACTCATCACCCCTATGGATGGAAAGGAGATAAGCTGGGAGGGTGCTAAAAGGCAGAGAAAGCAGCAGCTGAGCATTATATATTTACAGGACATAATTCATGAAATATTCTAAATTTTTCATCAACTTTCTGCCTTCTGGAAGTGTTCAGACAGCCGGCAGCACTAGATTCAGATCTTGGGCTAAGCTACTTAGTGGTTAACTATGTCAACACACTGCCACCTGAATGTATGACTTCATTCTAGAACATTCCAAGTGGGTGATAAGGAGCTCTTAGTGAGTCGCTGACCTTGGCATCTGACCAGAAAGTAAATAGGCTGCTTGAAGTGACTTAGAAAATGTATTTTTTAAACCTTAGGTTGAGGTCATTTGATAGGCTCTACACCTCATCCTCCTGGGTGCAGGCTCCTTAAGGGTAGGGATTTTTGTCTTTGTTCACTGCTATGTCCCCATCAGAGGACAGAGCCTGTCACTTAGTAGATGCTCAATCAGTGTTAAATGAGTAAATAACACCTGGGATCACAAGTGCCTTGTCAACCATGGGAGCCCGGGTGCTGGGCACAGGGCTGTTGGCACAAGAGGAACTGAACGAAAGCTGGTTGAATTGAGTTGAAATGAATTGACCAGCACTTGGGCAAGTGAAACAAAGTTTTCTTTGATTTTATAGTGTGAGAAGTAAGTAAAATGATATTAGGTTGTGAACGCTTCACATGAGATGTTCAGCAGTAACACAACTTTATCCACTCTTTTGTCAGCGATGATCTGGAACAATTCATGGAAAATCAAGGTGCATCAAGCCCAGGGATCCTCATTTTAACCACAAGCCTCAGCAAACCATTCATGCGCCTAGAAAAATATGTCACTCTCCTGCAGGAGTTGGAACGGCATATGGAGGTAAGGGAAAGTGATGAGTTTTTCCAAGTCCTCCTTCCAAATTCCTCCGTTCTGGAGGGAGCAGCCAGTCTGCCTCCATCCTAGCCTTGCTAAGGATTCAAAATTTACTTGACCCAACAACCTTTTCTTTTTTTAGGCTTTTAATTTTCCTTTTTATGCAACAAAATAAGATTCCCATTTTTTCCTGCCATGATCATGCGCCCTCATCCATTTTCTCTTCCAAACCTCGGTCTGGTTGCTTCCCTGCAGTCTATGCTTACTGGTTGACTTAGGTTTTCTTTTGTCCTCTGATCAGGTGATGATGGTTCAATGAAAACCAGATCTAGAAATCTCTTTTGTTCTGGCACATTAACCAACTTTATTGTGGGAGGTAAAGCCAACATCAGAACTAACAAAGAACATGTTCAAAGCAGACAGGAATATATATTTCTAGAACACTGCAATCATTCAGTGTTTGTAATCCAGTGACTCTGGATTACAATAGAAGATTCTGGTATTCTTCCAATATTAGTAAATGGATCCAAAATTAGTATATCTCTAATCAATACATCTACATCAAAGTTCCCTCACATTTTTGTTTATAAACTCTGAGTCTACTTGCAACCTAAAATCTTTTCACTAAGTATTAAGATATGCAGCAAGACCTGACCATTGAATATTTTTCATCAAGAGCCAAAATCCTATTGTAATTAAAAACCAGTCAGCAGGGATAGCTCCTTGAGCTGTTCTTTCGTGATTGTGCGTGGGGTATGGAGGTGTGGGTGGGAGAGGCTGTGTTTACCCTAGTTGCTCTTCCTGTGTCTGGGGAAAGGTTTTGAGGTTTTAAAAGGGTTGATTATCTTTAAAGAAAAAGTTTGCAAGCTGCCAGGCTTGTCAGCGTTTGTAAGGACTGAAAGCATCTACTCTGAGTGAAACCACATTCTCAGGGTATTTGACCTGCCTAAAAGCAAAAGGCAGTGGGGAGCTACTGAGTGAAGCTGGCCGGAATGAAATTTCAGTTGGGGCCTGGGAAGGTGTTGACCTCTGAATGCCTTTCCATAAGCTAAACCAGTTCACTAAACCGTTTGAGGTTTGTCCCTCCTTGCTTATCACAAAAATACAGAAACTCGTGGCCTCAGTTTCTGTTAAGGCTGACATACAAATAGTGCATTTAATTTGGAAAGACTGCCCCCCTCAAGGAAGCAGAAGCATCCTCCCAATACCTGAATCCTTGATCTTGGCCTTGCAGTGGAGCCTGTTTCTAGGCCCTGCCTCCATGAGGTCACCTTGACTTTGACTGCTTTCCATTTCCCACCATCAGATAAAACACCCCCTCATGCTAGTGTGCCATTGCACGAAACTCTTTATCCATGTTTCGATTGCTTGGCACGATTGCTAACTAATAGCAGAATAGAACCTGAAATTCTAGCTGCCCGCTTGTGTGAGTAAGGAGAAATTTTACCATGAGGGATTGCAAACTGACCTTCTTATGAACAGTACCATTCTTGGCTTGTGTCGGACCCCTAGCCTGAGCAGCTCTATGCTTTCTCAGACTGGTTAAGCAGATGTGGCCTTCTCATTACTCCAGGGGAGATATACCTATCTATCTATCCCCTGTGCCTCGATGTCAGGTCCACTCGATGACCCAATGGTGTCCCTCCCATGTAATTATTTAATATTATATTTACTATTACATATCTATTTTGCAAAAAGGGAAATGGGAAACTCTTACCTTAATAATGACACCTACTATATTGTTACTAAATATATGCTATGAACTGTCTTAAAAATAAATTGTACTGTGCGATAATTTCAGGATTTAGAAATGCAGTAGCATTTGGAATCTCAGTAGTACTAATAATTAGGCAATTAGTAAATTTTCTTTTGGTTGACAATTCCATGAGTTTTAACACAGGTATAGATTCATGTTATCACTACTAGAATCAAGATACAGAACGATTTCATCACCCCCCTCCCAATTCCCTCTTGCTAGATTTTTGCAACCATACCTTCCTGCTCCCCTTAGCCCCTGACAACTGGTGATCCATTCTCCTCTAATATTGCTTTTGAATGTGTTCCTTTGATAGGATACTCATCCAGACCACCAGGATATTCTGAAAGCAATCATAGCATTTAAAGTGCTCATGGTAGGTGAAGCTCTAAAATTGTCATTCTCCATTTTATACACTTTGGTCCTGAGTGATTTGTGTCAATGTTTCTTTGTTTATGCAAAGGTCTGCAGAATGGAAACAATAAGCTTTCATGACAGTATCGCAGTGATTGTTTCACTTCATTTTTGTCCCCCAAAAATCAAGCTTACCTATGAAAGGTTACCAGGCTAAGGGTATAAAGCAATCACACTTGAAGTCTCAGCCACATTAAGCATTGGTGTGTAGGTGGGGAGTTTCCTTTGTCTCTTTGTCTTTATCCCCATTGCTTAACATGTGTCTATATAATTCGTCATTCACCAATTGGCTTCAACAATGGATTCAACTATTTATACCAAAAGATGCAAGTTTGTTCTTTGCATATAAAAAAGAAGCACTGTACTAAAATGCAATTGCTTTATATAGATTGCTACCAAAGGTACTTGTAATCTTATATCTCGGGCATCATGTTTTATGTGTCTTCTTGAACCCACTGATGCAAAACCACTTGGTGCCATTTTAGAAGGAAAGAAAACTTTATTTTGGGTGATTGGTTAAGTTTAGCTACACGTTTGACATTTCTGTAGCATTATAAATGATTTGGATCAATGTTCGGTTATGGATCCTCGCTGTAAGGTTATGATGTCACATTTAGCATCACCTCATTTTTACTGCTGTTGAAAGATCAGTAACTGACATGTCTATCATTAAACAGTAAGTTGAAGACAGAGTAAGGTGTTAGATTAAAATTGTGCTGTTGTAGGTCAAAGACAGTCAAATACTGGCAGTTTTACATGGCTCAACCTAATAGAGCTCAGTCAAACCGACAGCATTTATTATAATTTATAGTCTATTTTACTTTTCCTATGTAAGTGGGTTATAAAATGCCTCCTTAAAAAACTGTTTCCTTCTCATCGTGTTATGAAACTTGCTTTGATGGCCGTGATATACTTATTCCCACTCTGAGCACTTTGTATATTTATTTCTTCAAGTCTTCATTTAGCTGAATGAGGCAGCAGAGATTTTAGAGAAAAATCACTTCCAAAAAACTCACATCACATTCATTTGGAAACAGTAACTTAACTAACCATATGCTTATTTTTGCATTCATTTGGGGATGAATGCTGTTAAATTACTCTAAGATAACCTCACACTTTCTGAAGGAGAGATTTAAATATATATATGTGTATATAAATATATATAATATATAACTATATTTAACTATAAACACTATGGTGTTTATATTCACATAGTATTGGCAAACTGTAAATTGTTTCTTAGTTTGAATTTCCAGTTTGTCATCATGAAATTCAGTTGTATCTCCTCTTTCCAATCCTTTTAGGATTAAAATTAACTTAGTATTTTCATAGCAATCTATTGCTGCTCTCTAAATAAAGCATATGTTTCATTACTGATTCAGTTTTATTCACTGTGGCATAAAGAATGCATTTGAGTTCTTTTTGCAATTCTCTCCTTAACGCTTGGAGCCTTTCTTTATTTTTGTTATTGTCAGCAAGCTACCTTGTTGAAGTAAGCATATGTCAGAAAAATAAAATTGCTCTGTAACTTAAACCCTATTTACCCAAAGATAGGCAAGGAAGAGAGGAGCAAGAGTGAGGGACCACCTGGCAGAGCTGAATCTACCTGTTGTTTGCCTGGCTCTGCTAGAGGAGATTTTGCTGTTTATCTCCCTAGACTCCTTACAGGAAGGGAGGAGCAAGCCATTTTCTCTTGACACTTTGGCAGAATGAAAAGTAACTGCCTCACACGATTTAGACACTAAGAGAATGAATGAATCTGTCAGGAATAGTCCGGTCATGAGATTTAGGGTGAGAAATAGGGGATCCAATGGGAATCTGAGAGTCAAAAGTCACATCTTACCTTGATCTTGTTTTAGGGTATATGGGTTTGTTTCTTAAGAATTCCTATTCTGTATGTTCTATTTTGCTTCTGTAGGGGCAGTGCCAAGATCTGAGAAAGAGAAAACAGCTGGAGTTGCAAATACTTTCTGAACCTATTCAGGCATGGGAAGGGGAAGATATTAAAACCTTGGGAAATGTGATCTTTATGTCACAAGTAATGGTGCAGCATGGAAACTGTGAGGTAATGTGTTTCAAATCTCAACATTGCTTCTTCCATCTTTCATAGTTTTCTTCCTTTATTTGTCCTTCCATCAAGGTCAAATGCTCAAATATTCAAATCAGAAAACTGAGCACCTGTTCTTTGCCCCAAACTCTGTTGGGTACTGTGGGAGATAGGAGGAAGAATAAGCAGTCATCCCTGCTTCCTAAAACACAAGTTACACCTAGAAAACCAACTCAATAATAGTCAATGTTAGATTGTATAATCTCAACAGTAGAATCCATACGTGTTCTGAGAAGGGAGAGAATGAGAAGACCTTATGGGAATAAGATTCAAGGAAGAGGGTCACAGAAAGAAAAGAGGATGTTATCTCAGGAGAGAACAGGAATGTGGCTTTTGTTCCCTTGCAGGACAGTAAGGGAAGGAGATTGTTAGAATCCCAAGGAGCGTGTTGGGAATAGTGAAAGGAAAGATTGATTGAGCCAGGTTATGTTATGTTGAACCTTGGTTATGAGGCTGGAGTAGTTCCGATGGACGCAGCAGGCAAGAGGAGACATGATGAAAGGACTGTCTTAGGTTGAGTCTTAATCTTACAACCATAATCAGGTGGAGGTGGGACTAAAAACAGAAAGGGCAGATAGGATGACAAGTGAGAAGCACCTGCAACAAAGATGTAGGCAGAAGGAATGAAGCATAAGGGTCAATTGAGAGACACATTTCGATGGGATCTAAACAAGAAGGGGTGACCCATGGCCGAGAAGATGATGAATGCAATTTTAGCCCAGTTCACTTTCAAGAGACTATAGCTATCTGGGTGGAGATGTTCTGTAGGCAGCTACTAAAGCACCATGGAATTGTGGGTGAGAGGGTAGGCAGAGGCAGAGATCTAGATGTTCCTGACAGATGTGCCTTCCTAGGAAGTAGATATCTAAAGAGAAGCACAGGAGGCTGAAGATGGATTATTTCTTTTAGGAAGGGACCAGGGGAGAGGAGAAAGGTTGATTATGTCATCTGGTATGATTTATTGAGTGTTAGAGTTGTCTCCCTTCTCCCCCAACATCTTCCTATAGTCCCTGACATGCCTCTGGCAGAGATTCATTACTTTGGGTTCATAGGCAATCTCATTGACAATGCAGAGACCCTGGGGAAGATTAATGCTGTGGAGCTAGCCATTACTCATTCACATCTTTGGGATAAACATCTCGGGTGAAAGGAGGAGGAACGAGTGCCAGGGGAAAAAAAGACAAACAGAAGAAAAGAAAAGTATTGAGAGGTCATAGAGTCATGGAATTCCTGGAGGAGCACTTGAAAATGTCCAGCAAGCTGAGTGCTGCAGAAGGTTCAGAGGTCAAGGAATGTGAGGACTGAGAAGAGGCCATTGGATTTTGCTAGAAGGCAGTTATTGATGACTTTGAGAGAGCAGTGGGGGAGTGCAGTTCAAGAGGATCAATGAAGAGAAAATGAAGGCAGCAAGTAATTTGGCAATAAAATGTCAAGAAATGAGATGTTATGAATAAGGAACCACATGGGGCAAGCTCAGCCTTTTAGGACAGGAGGTGCACATATGTTAAAGGCAAAAGAGGAAAAACTAGTGAAACAGGTGAGGCTGCTGAAAGGAGGAGGAGAGATGTCTGTAGGCCAGTGAAAGATTTGAGAGAATGCAGAGTTCTTATTAGAACACTTTGCCTCAAAAGGTTGCTCTTCTCAAATGGTAGGAAGGAGATGGAGACAGGCATGAGGAGAAGTGTGCATATCTTTTTAAGGGGTTCAGAGTAGTCCTTATGTGTCAAGATTCCTTCAGTACCATCAAAAAAAATAATGCATTAGATAGCTTCAAAGAGCTAGAAGAGAAGATTTTGAATGTGCTCACCATAAAGAAATGATAAAATTTGAGATGGTGGATATGCAAATTACCCTGTTATGCTAATATACCCTGTATACATGAATTGAAATGTCACACTGTACTGTATCAATACGTACAATTATTATGTGTCAGTCAAGAAAACCACAAAATTGGTCCAACACAGTGGCTCATGTCTTTAATGCTAGCTACTCAGGAGGCTGAGATCAGGAGGCCAGCCCAGACAAAAAGTTCTTGAGAATTCATCTCAACTAAAAATCTGAGCATGGTGTAAGTGCCTGTCATCCCAGCTGGGGAGCAGAGTGTAAATAGGAGGATTGAGGTCCAGGCCTTGCCCCAAGCAAAAATACAAGACCATATTTGGAAAATAACTAAAGCAAAAGAGGCTGGTGAGATGGCACAAAGTGGTAGAGTGCCTGCCTAGCAAGTTTAAAAAAAAAAAAGAAAAGAAAAGAAAACCACGAAATTGGGCTGGAAGTGTTGCTCAGTGATAGAGTGTGGTTTAGTATGTGAGCAGCCCTGGTTTTGACCCCCCAACACCAAACACACACACACACACACACACACACACACACACTTCTTAAAAATATATATTTACTTCTTTGTTTTGCATGCATACAATAATTATCCTATTTTTATTTTTTTTTGGTGGGACTGGAGTTTGAACTCAGGGCTTTGCACTTGCAAAGTAAGCACTCTGCTTAATTATCCTATTCTTAATGATAAAAACAGTTTCTGAATGAAAATTTACATATTAGTGCATAATGAATTTCCTGCCTCTTGGAAACCACTTCATTTCACCACTTTTCAAAAGAAAATTATATTTTTGTTTTATTAACCTAGAGACAAGAATGCATACATACTTGTTTCCTCAGTATGCACAGGAAGGAGAGAGAAATTATGACTTTATGTTCATATCAAAGTAAAATTTTGTGCTTTAGGTTCGATATCCTTTCTTTAACATTTTTGTTAGCGTATATTCGTAGTACAGGGAAGCTTCGTTCGCCCCCACCATCATTCTCCCTCATTCCCCTTTCCCTTTACTTAAAAGGATTTCAACAGGTTTCATTGTGCTTTTTTAAAATTACTGTTAATGTTTCCGTTGATTATGTAAGGTCTATAGTGATTTCAGAAACTCTTTGCACAAAATGTCCAATTTCTATTTGCCATTTAATGTTTTTTATTCCACTCAGGAAAAAGAGGAGCGGTACCTTTTGCTATTTTCAAATGTCATGATAATGTTATCTGCAAGTCCCCGGATGAGTGGCTTTATCTATCAGGTTAGTAGATTTCATATAAACCAAATAGAAGGACAGTATGAAAACAGGCTTCCATTCAGATGCGACATCACCACCATGACATTAAAAACTCAGGCTAGCAAAGGCAGAATGTGCTGACCCTTGATTGCAATTAAACAGCTTCTAAGAACAGATGTTCCTTAGTTCAAAGACCTTTATATAATATCAGTTTGTCTTGTATATCTTCTGCTCTGGTTATGAGCTAGGTTTTGAATGTATAAATAGAAATCTAAGTCTACAATTGAATCAATTAGCAGTGACATCTTTACAAGAGAATACAAAGCTGGCACCTGCTCCTATGTCTGTCTTGTTACAGTCACATCACATAAATTCAGGCTTCTAAGAAGCAAATCCTTAAACTCCTTAGGAAATTACACTTCCTTCCGTTTGCTCCCAAGAAACAGAGTCTTACGACTCATTATTGCTTGTTATAACCAGGTCTCACCATTACTACTTTTCATAAGATTTGAGCCTTTACTTTCTTATCGATTTATGTGATGAGACTTTATGCTAGAAAAGTAAACTGTTTTGAATCCTGATCTTACGTTTTAGGATGTGTTAGCCAAATACAATCCACATTTTCCCTTTGCTTTCTTCTCTGATTAGCATTTAGAACAGGGAAGCATTATCTATTGACAGATTAGAGAAATACGCCCAGCCATAAGTCGGTAGTGATTCCTAAGATGGTCAAAAAATCTAAGAGAAATATATACAACCTCAGAATTAACACGAATGTTCTTTTTTCTGGTAGGGAAAAATAACAATAGCAGGATTGGTGGTGACTAGATTAGATGAAATTGAAGGGAATGACTGCACATTTGAAATCACAGGTAGGTAATTTTCTCTTTTTCATGTAGCTACTTCAAATCCCTTTTGGAATGAAGTGGAATTTAAATAAATAAATGCTATTATTTTCTCTTGTGTAGTCCATGGGCAAGTTTTACAAGGACAGGGCAAAGTATACTCCATTTCCTGGGATAACTAGGGTACAGTGATAGAACAGAGAAGTCTCCTGGTTATTTGAAAGCCTTAGCTTTGCCATTAGTTTCAATCTTCTCTTGCATAAAAGCTATTTGTGGGAGCTAAAGAACAAAATGGCTGATGTAAATGTAACTCTCTCTCTCCCTCTTTCTCTCTCTCTCTCTCTCCCTCACATCTAGTCCATGGTGGCAGAGGAGCCAAAGATGTGGACTTTTTTAGCAATCTTAAAATCAGCCTGTGAATTAGCATGACTTGGTTGCACTTCTAAAAAGTGCTGAAAAGCCGGGAAACTTTCTCCACAAATTGAGCAAAATGCCAGGTTTTGATAATGCTTCCTGACATTTTGGACTATTATCCCTTTTCGCAGGCCCATGCATTTACATATAGTGGCTGCAATTTTTGCACTGATGTGGCACAGTGGTGAGGACTGGGATGATGGCCTCTGGCCTTACTTGGACTTGTCTTTCCCAATAAGGAGCCTAAGACTTGATATTTGCACAAAGGTTGTAGCCAGTTTTAGTTGGATCTTGTTCCAACTTTGATACTGGGGGAGCTAGTACAATATTCTCAAATTATGAAGTAAGTGGATTATGTGCTTAAAATTTCATATTGTATGTTTATTTATCATGAGGTTTTACTCCTAAGATACTGTAAGCTGTACAAATGAAGACTAGTTTTCTAAAGCAGACATGAATCATCATTTGCTTTGTTATTACAGCTTGTCTGTTCTTAATATAGAACTTCAAAAGCATTACCCCATAGGTATGAAGATGCCTCAAATAGACACTCGAGTCCTATTTGCAGGGAGTATGTTGATAAAGAGGACAAGCTCATGGTTCTCCTTGCCTTTTGTTTTCAAATATTTATAACTCGGTGATACAGGCAATGTAGTAGAGAGAATTGTGATCCATTGCAACAGCAACCACGACTTCCAGGAATGGTTGGAGCAGCTAGGCAGACTGACCAGAGGACCTGCCTCTAGCGGTTCATTATCCAAAACGTCATCATCATCATGCAGTGCTCATTCTGTAAGTCGTGCATTTGCTCTGTCCAGGAATTACTAAGGCATTTATCAAATCTTGTCTGCTTAAAGACTTACAAGCTTGTGGGGTTGCTCAAGTGGTAGAGCATTTGCTTAGCAAGCATGAGGCCAAGTTCAAACCTCAGCCCCACAAGAAAAAAGTTTTCACTTACAAGTGTGCGATTTTATTTGATAGTATTAAGATACTCTGACTAACTGCTAGCCAAGTGTTTCTAATCAGAAATCTACTAAGCTGTTTGGTGATAAACATCTTAATCTGTTAATTCTCATATTCGTAATGTGCTCAGTCAGAACAGCTTTACTTCCCTTTGTGCTTCATCATTCCCATGCATCTCACTCATGCTCTCCCATTTGCTCAATAACCCTCCTCAAAGGCAAACTCTTAGCGTTGTCTTCTTCTGAGTTATCACTAATTTTAAATTCATGGGATTCAAATGGATGAGATTTTACTTCATTGACTGAACTGGAAGAGATGCTGTGTTGTCTCTTAACACTCTAACCTGGGATGCCAAAATTACTGTTTTGATTACTATGTGCTGTGGTGGCAGACCATGGACTTTGGCATCAAATCATGGTTGAAATCTTGTTTTTGCCAATTTTTAGCTAATCACTTCACTTTGCCAAGTGGATGTTATAGGTTGTTCTGATGAAATAACCTATTTAAGCATCTAATGGAATGCTGAACACAGCCTCGAACTCAAATGTTGCCTGTTACTTCACTTTCCTCCCTACAGAGGAAAAAATCTGACTTGAAAGAAGTTGCAGAAGAGAGAAAGGGCCCAGGATTGGGGGATGTTGAGTGAATCTTGTGCTATCTTTTAGAGTCCTCATAATCTTAAGTGGAAAGGGCCAGTTCTCAAAGGGAGGCTTTGTTTTTCCATCTTTCCCTTTCTATGGTTGTGTTTGTTGATCCAGTGAAGCTATTGTACTCTCACTGTGTGGCACAAGGTCGGGTTCAGATGGCAGATTGCCAACATCTCATCAGACATTTTCCCAGTCTTTTAGCTCTACCGGACAGCCCCGAGGACCCTTGGAGCCTCCTCAAATTATAAAACCATGGAGTTTAAGTTGTCTACGACCTGCACCTCCACTTAGACCATCAGCAGCACTAGGTTATAAAGAGGTAATTTTGCTATATATGGTATAAAATGCTTCTGACAAGCTCATTTTGTAGCTTATTGTACATAGCTCCGTGAAAATGTGCTAGAATTAACAATAGGTGCTATGTCAGTCAATCTTGAATTGCTAGACTTGGTCATTTTTTTGATTTCTTAATTTTCCATTCCCCCACCATCCATCCACAAATATTTATTGAATATTCACAGGGCTTATGCTCACTGCCCGCATTTCCCCAGTCTCCTTCTGAAGTGCCTCTGGTTTCCGTTTATGTGATTGTGATAATTCGTTAAATTAGTTAACCATGCCCACACATCTACAACAAAAACTACTTCATTGGGAGTTGGATTTCCTACGAAACAGACCCAATTCTCCATTTTGTGGTGTTTTGATGTATTAAACCAAGTCCGTAAAGTTAGGGGAGTCATCCATGTGTTCAAACTATGAAAGTAGTATTTGCTACAATGGGAAAGGAGAATGAATTTTTACAGAGAGGCTTCTCAGCAACAAGCTCACGGGACAGTTGGTGTTTAGGTAGTGTGGGGGATTTCAAGGTGGTTGGGTTTTTCTTTCTCTATAAGTTGTAGTCAAGAAATGTCAGTCACCAGTCTCCTCTAATTATGTTAGCACATTACCATTTCCATCCAGTGTTTTTTTCTCTAACCTATTTCTGATTGTTTCAGATTTCAGAAAAGATGCTCACTTATTAATTTCTTTAAATAGGTCTTGTTGAGTGAAGAGTAAGTTGGTGACATTTATGAAATGAGCCTTAGAATTTTGGTGCAAAGGGAGCATATAATTCTATATCAAATATGTATTTCAATGATATATATATATATATATATATATAAAACAATTTTTGTGTGTTTGTATTTATACCACCATGCTTCTGCTTTAATTCATTGTTGCCCCTAACTCTTAGTGCAGCAAAAATTGAACATTATCTGGCCACTGGAAGATTTTTCTTTTTTGATTCTTTCAACCTGATATAATGCATGAACTAAAGTTTTATTACACACCTCTATTCAGAATTTGGCCAGGAAACAGTCTCACAGAACTACTTAGAAATTGATCTGCAGTTCTTGTGATCATCCAATTTTCTTCTTTGATTACTTAAGAAGTGTCACTTGATAGTTACTTAGGTCCCCCTTTGAATGATGGATCTTTTGTAATCATCAGTTACTAAATTCAAATTGAGTTGAGCTTTGAAGGGTAAAGGTGACTTAATCCTTCACATAACTAATCTATTAAAACTAAGGCATGATCACTTTGTTTCTGCTGGGGAAGAGAGTTATTAATATATTCTTATTATGTAGTATGTATTTCAGTTATTTTGACATTTGTTATTCTGCACAGAACTGTATTCTTTGGACTTTTGCATGGTGATATCACATCTGAAACTAATGTGGGAAATGTGTAATTGATGATAACACTAACATTTCAAATGTTGTTTTAGAATTATTGATAAATGGATTTGGTCATTATAACCATCGACCTCTCACGCTCATCTTCTCTTTCTTTACATATTCATTTTAGAGGATGTCTTATATCTTAAAGGTAAGGGTAGACAATATCTTTGGCTTACAGTGACATCATAGTGTTGTGCTGTAACCTTTGATGAATGGAGCTTTCCTTTATGCTTGTCTTGTCCCTTGTTATAATTGGTGGCTAAAATAAGAAGATACAATTCTGACATGTAAGTACTTTCTTCAAAAAGCAGGCTTGTGTGAGATACATCTAAAAATGTCATCTTATATGTAATGTTTTTAAATGCCCATTTTCTTGTTTTTGAAAATCTTTTTTCTTGCTATTTTTGTCACATGTGAGTTTTTCACGTGTCTGTTTTCAAGTCTAAGTGGATCATTGTAGCTAAGTGAAGGGAAATAAATTCCTTATTTCATATATTTTATCCATGCATCACCTATATAGATTGCATGAGGTAAGATAAGCATGAGGATTTTTTCCAAGTTTAAGATTATTTGTTTACTTGAATATTGATAATGAACATAGTTTTCAATTTTCTGGTTATTCATATGGCAAAAGCAAATTCAATAATTTCCTCTTCTATTGTCTACTAATTAAAACTATGGTTTATGCATATATAGTCAAACCTGACCACTGGTATGTCCTAACCCAAACTTATTTATCAGGACATTCTTCTGAGTTTGGGAAAATTATTTAGTCTCTCATCTGACAAATGGAACTTAAAGTTTTCTTTGTGGGACTGTTGCTAAGGAAAACTGATTTAAATACTTTTGAAGCTCTTCGAAAAAGTATCAGTGGGGAACATAAACCAAGTTAGGAGTACTGTGGTTCTTCTCAGGTTGACATCCATACTTTCTCTGCAGATGGTACCATAAAGGCATTTGGCCTCCTGGAAAGTCTGCCCCATGTTCAGTAAACACACTGCATTCTTATCCCCACCCCTGTGGCCATGGAAAGGATAGTATCATTGCTCTGTTTTATTTAACCTTTTAGAGTTCATTGGAGCCTTTTTATTATTTATAGTATTAAATTTTGATGCACTCCTATCTGAGGCTATCAAAATAAGAGAGAAGCATTGTATTTAATTTCATTTGTTCTATTTTAATTTGTGTTTGGGGGAGATTTTTAATTCATTAAAAAACCTTTATCCTTACAGGAGTCTAGTAAAAGCCCCAAAACGATGAAAAAGTTTCTTCATAAAAGAAAGACGGAGAGAAAACCATCTGAGGAAGAGTATGTGATTAGGAAAAGTATGTGTTTTGTACTTTCTGAAAGTTATTTATGGATGAACTAACATGAGAATTTTTTAAAAGCAGAGATAATTAGAGCAATTTGTTCTCAGCATCATCTGTTATAAAGACACATGGAAAAGTTTGGTCACCTCTAAGACTTTTGAGTAAGCTGCCTCCTGCTGCACTTCCTGTCATCTTAGGCAGACATCATCTGTATCATCTTCATGATACAGAACATTTCGCCCCATCTGATTGAGAACCACAAAGGGGACCCATTTGCTATGGATACATTTTTCCCTCTTAGTTTCTGATGCCCAAGATATTTCCCTGAGCAGAGATAGACTAAATAGACCCGAAGACTGAAATTGTTCTGGAAGTCCTAATGCTTAGTATTCTCAGTTAGCCAAGGAATTGGCCTGCTAACATCTAGAAACAGGGTTTTAAGCTGGTCACAGTAGCTCACGCCTGTCATCCAGGCTGTGGTGGGAAGTGTAAAATGGACTCATGGTCCAGGCTAGCTTGGGCAAAAAAAGTGAGACCCTATCTACAAAATAACCAGAGCAAACAGGGCTGGAGGGGGAGGGCGCGGCTCAAGCAATAGAGCACCTGCCTAGCATGCACGAAGCCTTCAGTTCAAACCCCGGTCCGTCCAGAAAAAAGAAAGAGGGCTTTATTTAGGGGTCTACCGCAAAGCCACTCAATCAATATGTACATATTTGGCTGTAAAGCTGTGAGCAAGATACTTTGGGATGCCTGTGAAAGAGCTGGTGATGTCTCTCACAAAGATGTGACCAGACTGTGTATATCAGTCAAAACTACATTTTGGATAACTCTTTGCTGAACTGCAGCTTGTGCGTGCCCCAACCCCACCCATCCATGAGGGTGCACAGGAGCATGTTAACAGGGTGTTGCCATCCCGTCTTTTCAAAAGTGAGTTAGGGAAGAGATGGGTGAGAAGAAAGAATCAGGGACTCTGCTGGCTGGTTGAAAAAAATGGGTGAGCTAGTGGGGAAAAATTTCTAAAGAAAGAGAACCTCAAAATTTAAAGAAGGCTGTGTACCCCAGCTGATGCCATACCAAGCCCAGTGCTGTGATTTTGGCCTTCAAGATATTACTTACAGGATCCCCCAATTTAGAACTCTGATCTTTAGGTGCAGCCCTCCCAAGCTCTGTTGGCTTGCCCTCACTCTTCCATCATAAGGGTTGGACAGGTCTTTTGCCTGTCTTTCAGAAACCCTTCCAGGGAAGGGTGGTGAAGTGCACTGTATCATTTGAGGGTCTAGAGGCATGTATCTGTGAAACCATTCCTAATTATATTTGACAGGTACAGCTGCTCTGGAAGAAGATGCTCAGATTCTGAAGGTGATCGAAGCCTACTGCACCAGTGCCAACTTTCAACAAGGTAATGGCTCAAGCCAGCTCCCCTAGACCACTTTCTCTAATGAATGATGTTTCTTCTTTACTGCTCCTTGCCTTTTAGAAAAAAGAAAAGCAATGATTAGTTTGCAGGGTGTGGAAAGCAGGTGACTTTGGTGCAGGGGAGCGGTGCAGGACTTCATCTTTCAGATAAGGTGGTTTTAGCTACAGAGCGGTTTGTTTACCCAATGTTGCTTTTCACCCAGAGAGAGAGAGAGATGCAGGAGGGGAAAAGTTGGAGGTGATAGAAATGAAAACTTTTTTTTTTAAGTCATTCTCTTTTGAAGTATACAGATACCTTCACCAGCAAGAGTTAGGAATTAAAGAGCCCAGAGAGTTCCTGTGCTGGTGACCTGATGCTAATCTCTCTCATAGGCAGATTTGGAGAGGAAGTCAAAATACTATCTTTGATCAGCTGCATATTTAAGCGAACAATGCTTCACCAGACTCAAGTTTCAAAGTTGCTCTGAAAATCTGGAAATGTAGCTGCACAGCAGGGGCTGTTCAGAATGTCTGAAATTTATCAGGGGGCTATTAAGTGAGGGTATTTCCCCACACAGCTTTCCAGTTACAAACTGAATGCCAGATAATGTCTCCTGATGGAACCTTGTACTTTTTAAAAGCTAAGTCACATGGGTGAAGTCTTTTGTCTTCCATTATCAGGAATATTTATGATACCTCTTGGGAGGTTTTCACATCTGTGTAAGAACCAAATGCTCCAGAATCTACATTTTGGACGGCCACTGGCCAGTCATGTGTTGTGGGGAGGGAATTCTTCGGTGACTGCCTTGTCAGTTCTTCAAAGTATCCCATCTCTCAGATTGCAAAATATTGAAGCCCCAAATGATTATGCAAGTTGCACTCCTCCAAAGAGTGAGCTGTACTTCAGACAGCTCATTAGAAAATGCAACAGCATAGTCTGTAGCTTTCAATGCTGTTTTACCTTACCTTTATTAGCATAAACAAGGGACTTTTTACTACAACACAAGATTCAAATATATATGTTTGTATACATATATATACACACACACATGGGTTTATGTGTACATTGTAATACACAAATAATTTGTGCATGATAGAAATAAAATATATTAAAAAAAACAGAGTCAAAGATAAGGAAAAGGCACAATGACCATATTTTCAAGGTCCCCTTTTATAAATCACCGATTTCAACTTTCTTTTTTCAAAAAGAAAACCACTTGACAGAACTTTTTTTTGTTTATTACTTCGTTGTTATGTTTTTATAAATATTGCATAATTCTGGTTTTCATGTTAAATACTGTGTATTAGTGGCTACTTACTCACTAACTGAAAATGGTACTTATACATTTTGTTGCATGTGACTGTATTTCCTTCACGTTTGCTATATAAAAATGAAAAAAAAAAGTAGCCCATCTCTCAGGCTCTCAGGAGGAAAGCCTTCAGTGTGCAAGTCAACACATTAGACTGTGAAGAGGAGACGCAGTTTGCTCCACAGACAAAATGTGGCTGTGGCTTTAGGCATGTGCAGTTCTGTTAACAAGTTTTAAGGAGCCAGTAGAGGAAAGTGAGAGCAGTTTTTCTCATGAATGCTTGGAAAGAAAAGGTGACAAGAAACACAGAAAGCAGCATCCCTCAAACAAAATGTGACCTCTTCTGTCCTCCCACCACCTCCTTTCACATCCATACAGTCTATCCTTCTACTGATAGGCAAAGGCGCAGGCACATTTTCGCACCTCCTGCCTAGCCTCCCTTTACATGTGGGAAGTGTCTAGTAGTACCATGCTTGACACATGGCAGACCTTTTAGCAACACAGTGGTGTTCTGTCTCTCTCCAGCCAAATGTCTTGTTTCCCCAGAGCCGACTGCTCTTGCTGCATCCATCCATCCATCCATCCATTCATTCAGTCTTCTGTGCACTTACTAAGCACCTATGAAGTGCTAATCCCTGAGCACAGTGAAGACACATGACCTCTGGGAAGAGGAAAATGACCAAGTGAAGGCAGTGAGTGTGCACACTTCTGAAAGAAGTTGGCCTAGAGGAAATGAAGCCAGTGACTCAGGGGGACCAAGGATTGACATTTGAGCTCCCAGAGGAAGGCTTCAGAGTGAGGGGAAGGTTGGAAGTTCAAGAGAGCCATCTGGTCAGGCCCCCATGCTTGTTCTGTCACCTCTTCTGTCCTAGAGCCTAGAGACTGAGCAGAGACAGGTGAGGACCAGCAACTTTGCTGCTAATGTGATAATCTCCTACTGGCTCTCCACCTGAGGTGAAAATAGTTTCAAGTGGCCCTGGAGGGTTGGAAAAAGAACAAATGAGTGGAACGAGGCTTTGGAAACCCTTCCAGCATGTTGTATCCCAGGGCAATGCCACTTTCAATCTGATCTTTACTAAAAATACGGGGTACCAGACCACAGGATACAGTGTATTACTCTCTGGAAATTTGGAAATTTGGACAGAGTGGTCACTGGTTAGCTCTTTGCTATGGGAGAGACAAAACAGGGAGGTGTGGGGGTCTTATGATTGAGGCAGGTATTGCAGCAGCCCAATCACATTATTTTTCTGAATACAAAATGCCCCCTGCTGAAGATTTAGCTAATCTAATTATCTAAATGTAACTTCACCATTTAAAATTCCTTATGTCAGGAAAATTTCACCAGCAAATATTGGCTGACCAAATACAAGGTAGCACATGTGAGGAGCAAAGCCCCTGAGACAATGATAGTGGGGAGGAGCTGAGACCTGTCGACAATCTGTAATCCATGCTAGCAACTCCTCTCTCCTCTTGCACTCCTCACTTGTAGGTGCCCGCAAAGACTCTGTGCCACAGGTCCTGCTTCCCGAGGAGGAGAAACTCATCATCGAGGAAACCAGAAGCAATGGCCAGACCATCATGGAGGAAAAGTGAGTGGAGCTGGCAACACCTTTCTTGGCTTGTCTGGGGACTGAAAGGAAGGTCTGGCAGGGCCATCAGGGAAGGACTGCTCTTCCTTTATCCACGAAGGTGGTCCTCTGCTGAGAAGGCTGTTGGGAGCCTTGGGAAGGCCTGGTTCCTAGTTCAGGGAAGGAGGAAGGGAAGCAGAGGCAGGGGGCCAGAGCCCTGCAAGAGCAGCTGACTTCCCCGTAGAGTAAGTGGCCTCAGAGTCCCTGAGAACACCCTGCTCTGGATGGTGTAAGGCGTCTGAGGCAGGGGCTGGACTTGCACGTGGTTGACCTCATTTAAAGTCCTACGAACAACTCAGTGAAGACAGGTGTAACTCTGCCCACTTTTACAGATGAGGAATGTGAGGATTTCTGTCCTACCTTCACAGTAGTGCCTGTGATCTAAAGGGGGAAAATCAGGTGAAATACCTTCTGGCTCATAAAATAAACACAAAGTAGCCAAATAATTCATTTGCTTAAACTTGAGTCATTTCTGAAGTCAGGCCTGAATTTGCACAGGACAGCACATTTCACATCACTTGGCATCTTTAAAGTATTTTTACACCTGGTGTGTGAACTGATATGGCAAAATGGTAAAGCACTTGGGCTCAAGAGAACAGGCCTGGTTCAAGTGTAAGTTCTGCTACTCATTGGCTGTGTGACCTGGAGCAAACTCCTTCACTTCTCTGTGCCTGTTTCCTCATCTCTAATATGGGGATTGATAGTAATACTTTCAGAGTTGTGTGATCAAATATAATAAATACAAAGGCTAGCACTTGATAAATAATGACAGGCATACGCTTTATCATCATCATCATTTGAACATGTTGATCTTCACAACTTTCTGAGGGCTTCAGGGAATATGGCATTTTTTTTGGCAGCACTGAGGCTTGAACTCAGGGCCTCATACTTGCTAGGCAGGCACTCTCCCACTTGAGCCACTCCACCAGCTCTGAGAATGTGGCATTATCCCTGTTTTATATGTGAAGAAACTTAAGTACAAGAGAGAATGAGAAAGAAACTGGTTACCCAAGGTCCCAGGACTAGGAAGTGATCAGAACTGTGACATAGATCTCTAAATTCCTTTTCTTGAAAGAACTGAAGAGGAAAGACTGGTCCACAACCCAGCCAGGGCACTTCATCCTTTACTGTCTTTTTGGTGGTATATGGGGTCTTTCAGAAATAATGTCATGGGTTTCTGTGATGTGAGGTCACATAAATGAGGACAGTGCCACAGCATAGCTAATGTAATTCAGGTAGAGCCTCGTGGTACCTGTTATTGTACATTAAGTAATATTTATTCCTGCCCCAAAACTACAGAAAGCAAAAGCTGATGATGATACTCGTAAGAAGCCGAACTCAAAGAAGCATAGAGTAGAATGATTCGCCAGAGGCTGGGAGAGGGCAGAGGAAATAAGGAGATGTTGGTCAAAGGGTACAAAATTTTGGTTATGCAAGTAGAATAGGTTTTAAGAGACCTAATGTACAGCATGCTGACTATAGTTAATAATACCGTCTTGTGAAATTTATTGAGAGGAGAATGTAAGGGTTCTCTCCAGACACACAAAAAGTGGTAACTATGTTAGGTGATGTGTACATTGATTAGCTCGATTTGTGGCACCATTTCATAAAGTAAACATACACCAAAACATCATGCTGTATGCCTTAAGTGTATACAATTTTTATTTGTCAATTATACCTCAAGTTAAAAAAGCAAAAAGTGTGGGTGTGTGTGTTGTGGTCTTAGTCTCTTGTTTTCTGGTCACAAGTTGGAAGTGGGTAGCAAAGGAGGAGGGAAGTATAGAAAAGGTGTCTTGGCATGCATTGCAATGAACCTGTGTGGTGCTGGTCATTTTCCTGCAAAGGCAAAGACGTGAGGACCCTGCAGAGCAGACCCATCAGCTAGAAAGTCCACTGCTTTCTGGGATCTATTTTCTTATAGAGTTGTTACTTAGCACTACTTCAGTGCCAGCCATTCATCTCTGAATTTTCTTTGGATGTTCCAGGAGCCTTGTCGATACTGTTTATGCCTTAAAGGATGAGGTCAAAGAACTGAAGCAGGTAAGAAAATACGAAAGTCATTTTCTCAGCTCATAGAACCACTCTCTGTGTTCCTTGCCACCAGCTGGTAGATGGTATCAGGAAAGATCCAAGGCAAGGTGGTGTGAGGGGAGGTTGGTGTTCTCAAGATGGCTTTTACTGATTTTAACTTGTGGCCTTGAGTATGAATTTCTGAGGCTTGCTACTTTGAAGATTGTAATAGGGTCTTAAACTTATTTGTGACTTTCACGTTCCCTGGCATCTGTAAACAGAACTTATGTCTTTCCCATCATAGGAGAATAAAAGAATGAAACAATGCCTGGAAGAAGAGCTGAAGTCAAGAAGGGACCTAGAAAAGCTGGTTCGGAGGCTGTTGAAGCAGACAGATGAGTGCATTCGAGCTGAATCCAGTAACAAGACCTCCATTCTTCCATAACCATCACTGTGCAGCTGGGCAGAGTGTGCCTTTAGCTCATCTTGAAATGTCCAGCTGAATGATTGACTCAGCTCACTCACTCACTTCTTTGACTTTTGTTTTTTGTATCCTCTCTCTCTCTCTCTCTCTCTCTCTCTCTCTCTCTCGTTGGTGTGTGTGTGTGTGTTTGTATGTGTGTGTGTGTGTGTGTGTGTGTGTGCGTGGATGCTTGTTTGTTGTTTGTTTGGTTATTGGTTGATTGTTTATTTTTATCAACAGGGGAAAAGGAAGGAGGTGGTGGTAGAAGAGGCCCAGAGTCTTCTCCATTCAACCAGAGCAGGAAAACTTATCTGGCATATAACTTCAATGGTCTTCAGATGGCCTTCATTTCATGGGGTCTCTGCTGTAGCCATTGCCTATAATCACTCACGTTTGTTGGGCTGGCTCCTGTTACAGAGCAGCAGGCTATGATGTACTAAATGTGAACCCAACTTTCCCAAACCTGGAAGACCTTCAGTATCTAATTTACTGCAGGCAAAGCTTCAGGAGCCATGACTAGAGTAGGTGGAAGACTTACACATTTGCCCAATGACACAGCTGCCCTTCCCTTCCCTAGGCTGTCCCGATTTCTAAAAAGATTATTGCCCCATACTATCTATTAAGACCAAGAAAACTGTAGTACCCTTATTCCTTTTGTGCTGATGTGCATTTAACCTAGGTGAGCAGAAGCTCTGGCCATCTACGCCAATACCAAATTCATCAGCAAATTGCAGTAGGCAAGCCTCCCCTTCAGCAGCTGAGTTGAGCAGCTCTTCCCAGTGCATGACAGGTTTCTACCCTTAGCCTCTGCCTCAGCGTCAGTTTTCATTTTCCCCAGTGCTTCTAGCCAACCATACCAAGTGGTGTGTCAACTAGTGTGTATGTGCTTTGCTTGCTTTTTTAAAAATGTAGTTAGACTGTGAGTAGTCATTATATTGTATATTCAAACTGTGACCTTTCATCCTTCAAAGCAATCTGCATTGAGAAGATATTGGGCCTCAGTAGATACCTTTCATTCACTTTGTCACTGTCCCATTTATGCTGTGAAAAGTTGCAGCATGGCCTCTTTTGAGTAGGGCTGTGAACAAGATTTGCAGGAATGTCTTGTTGGTCCAGTTTGTATATCCAGAAGAAAGGGCTCCTCTTGTACCAGTGCTGGTTACTAGTGAACCTAGTTATTTGGAACTGGTCTACTCAAGTTGCTTATTGAATCAAATCATAAGCTTTGTAAGTATTCCAGAAATGAGAACTGTGAGAACCCAGGTTGAGGAGAGCATGACAGGAAAACAGTTCCCATCTGAATTCAGCACAATTCAAGGTTGGCCAAGCCTCTAGGAGAGAGCAGTCCTAGCAGCCCCTTCCCCGACTCCCCGAAGACAGGGGATATCTGACCATGAGGGGAACATCACTAGAGAGGGGCAGAAAGCCAATAGACTGATAAAATGTCTTACAGATACATTTCATGGGTGCTTGTAAATGTTGGGTTTTGTAATTTTGTTTAGAAACCCAACTTGAAGCTTAATCCCCCCAGCTTGCTAAGGAGCCCTTTTTCTTTCTGGCCCTGAGGGTCTCAAGAATCCATAGCTTCATGGTACAGGGCTGTCACAGAGCAGAAATTACAGCATCCCTCAGCAGAGGACTCTGTTGCAGTCCAAAAGTACCCAGTCCCACACGGCCATCTTTGAAAGGGAAGATGAAGAGGGAAGCCGATTTCTAAGGATGGCTCTTCTGTTTTTAAGCTCAGAAGTTTAGATATGACATCTTTCACCTAAAAATTGAAAAAAATAATAACAACTACCCATGTCTTTGCATCTGCCCTGTGTGTGTGGTTAGTCTGGCTTATAATAAATGTGCAATCTATATCCATAGGAAACATTTTTTGTGATTATAAAATACTTCAGTTGATTGCTTAAGATATTGCAAGGTCTTTATTTTAAAGTGATGTGTACATATGCATGTTTCTGGGACTTGGCCCTTCTGATGACGGGCCAGTGGTACTTTGGGTAGCGAAGCTTGTGCAGAGTGCTGTCCGCGCTTACACACTAAATAATAATATAAAGGAAATGAAGCCATGTTAACCTTGAGCAGCGTCTCCATAGTAGTGTTGTTTACAGTACTGTATAAATGGGTTCTTGTTACTCTGTAATTAAACTGCTGCCCTTAGAGGCCTTTCAGTTTCTTCTCTGTCGTTGTCCCTTCTTACATAAGCTCAAATTTTCTAACTTTTTTTTATTTTAAAGACTTTTAAAATTGACATTTTCAATAAACAAAAATAAACAGTGCTTTATAAAATAAGTCCTTTGCTTCTTTTCTGCTAGCTAGTGTGTAGAAAAATTTCTTAAAATTTCTTTAAAAGTTTAATTATACATATATATATGGAATATGGTATGAGGTTTTGATACATGCATACATTGTGGTATTATCACATTGAGATAATTAGCATAGCTATCACTTTAAATATTGATCTTTGTGGAAAGAACATTTAAAATCCTCTTTTAACTATTTTGAAATTGTCAATGAATTATTACTAATTATAGTCACTATGTTGCACAATAGATTTCATAAACTTCTGCCTCCTAACTAAGTGAAACTTTGTACACTTTGATCAAAATCTCTCCTTCTCTCCATTCCAGCCTCTGGTGAACACCATTCTATCTCTAGTTCTATCAGTTAAATTTTTTTTTAGATTCTTCATGTGAGTAAGATCATGCAGTACTTGTTTTTCTGTACCTGGTTTATTTTACATAGCATAAAGCCCTCTAGGATCATCCATGTTGTTGCAAATGACATGATTTTCTTCTTTTTAAAGGCTGAATAGTATTCCATTGTGTATATCTGCCACATTTTCTCCATTCATACATTGATGGATATTTAGGCCAATTCAATATCTTTAACTATAGTAAATAGTGCTGCAATGAACATGGAAGTGCAGATAGCTCTTTGATACACTGATTCCATTTCCTTTGAAAATGATGAGAAGGAGTAGAGATCATTTATAGGTTGGGGCCAAAATTATTAGCTAGTCCATGCTCCACCCTTACTTAGCCTGCCCATACCTCCACTCAGGGAAGTTGTATCTCATGTCACATATTATCTCTGTAAGGTAGTTTGCCCATGATACACAGCCTTCCTTAACTTTCCTCCTTCTCTTCTTCTGGCCCCAACTTATTATCTATTTATACCCTTTCTCACCATTTTCCTTCCAATATTAGGGAAAGATACATTCATTTTCCTGTTGAAGGTCATCCCTTGGTCCTTAGTCTTGTCCTCATCCTTCTTTGTATTTTGTATGATTTTGTATCAGTGAGATTCTCAATTTTGACCACAGTTACAATGCTGGTGTCAGAGTCAGGATGAATCTATTTTTTTACTTCAAGGTAGATGGGGTGGATGGTATGTGTTGCTACTCAACATCCGTTCCTTCCCATCTTTTATGTTTGCTCTTGAAAACATAAGCTAAAAATTGTATTTCCTAGACTCCCTTGCAGCTAGCATTCTGGATATAATGAGGATTCAGATACATTTTCAGTTTTGCCAATGGGATTTTGAGGGCATAAGTTACTCAGAGGCTATCTTCTCAGTAGTGGCAGTAGTAGCAACAGCAGCTTCCTACCACTTGGATCACAAATGCAGTGGGATGACCTTGAAGTCATTAGTTTGCTGGAAATCCCATGACTCCCACTTCTATAGACCCATGTTTTGGTAGACATCCAATTATCTTTAAGCTCAAGATACCTTAGAGGTTAATGTTTCCTCCTCTGAACCAATAGATATAACATTGTACCTCTACGCTATAAGAACTATATTAAGTGGTTTACCTGCTTAAGTTCATGCGAGCCTCAAACAGCCCTATGAGGTCTTTGCTGCCATTAGCTCCATCTTATAAATGAATGGAGGCACGGAGATGTTGAACAATATGATACTACGAGGTGGAGCTGGAATTTGAGCCGCCAGTCTGTCTACCTCTTGTGCCCATGCTTTCTCTACCTCCTTTCCTTCTCTGCACTTGGCACCTGCCAGGTAAGGTTTCTACCTCAGTTATCTACCCTTGTGAAGTCACCAATGAACTCTTAATTGGCACTTTTTCAATACTTATCTTGCCTTTGTTTTTTATTTTTTGCAATTAAAAATTATTTTTGAGACAAGATCTCACTAAGTTTTCCAAGCTGGCTTCAATCTTGTGATCCTCCTGCCTCAGCCTCTGAAGTATTCTTGCCACTGTGCCCAACTTAGCCTTGCCTTCTTGATAAGGGTCTTGTTCCTTGGTTTCCATCATCCCATACTTAACTGTACTTCATTCATCCTTTCTGCCCCCACCAGTCTCCTTTGCTGGACCTGACTCCTTTGCCTGTCTCCTGAACATTTCCTTTTTGATTCCTCAGCCTCTTCCTGGACAGCCTTGCTACACCTATAACTTCAATTATCAAAATGCAGGTGATTCATATGTCCATAGTTTTCTGATCTTCCTTCTGAGCTCTGGACCCATGGACAGAGGTACCTTCTGGACATTTCAGTTTGGGTTCCCTACTTCACCTCAAACCCAACATGTCCAAATCTGGACTCCTCATCTCTATTTTCAAATATGTTTCCCATTCCAGTGATCAGCACTCTGGCCATTTAATTGCCCCAATCAGAAGCATAGACATTATTCTTCATTCCATCCCATCTCTAAACATCTTATGAATGTGTACATTAGTGCTTTATAAACCTAGGCATCAAGTCTTATCAATTTTAACTCTACTATATTCCCTGAATTCCTCCTCTCTATCTTCATGACTATTACCTAATTTTAGCACTTGTCATCTCTCCCTTGGACTAATGCATCTCCCGCCTCTTGGATGTTCCTGTAACACTGGTCCTTGTCCTGCTGCAGCATTTGCACTGGGTTTGAATTGTTTGCACACCTGTTTTACAAAAGGCTATAAGCTACATGAGGTCGGGCACTAGATCACTATTATCTCTGCATATCCCAAATGCACAGTACAGGACTTATAACTTCAATCAGTCTTCCACAGGTGGGTGGTGAGTGAAAAAACTCTTTAAAAACTGCCCAGTGCATGAAAAGTGGATCAAATTAAGATGTGTTAGACTCTAAAAAGGTTTATAGTCAGAGAGATATAGAAGATAGGAGTAGAGTTTGCGATCAAATATTAAGAGGGGTTACATTATCAGGAAAATAACTCAGTGGAACTCCAGGACTGGGGGTGGTGGTAATGGAAAAACTGGTTTTCCTGAGAAATGCTGAATTGCCTACAGAGTGGCTCAGAACAGCATAGTGTGGATAGCTTCCCTTAGACTTAAAATCAATGATAATAGTCTTTTCAAGAAACCTTCTTAAATATAGAGTTGCTCAAGCCTGCTGAAAAATCTGGAAAACACAAGCTCCCAGTGGTTGTTTCTAACAATGAAACAGTTGGGAAAAAAAGATATCTCTCTCTCTCTCCCTCTCTCTCTCCCTCTCTGCTTTCCTCTCTCCCTCTCTCTCCCTCTCTCCAGACTCTCTCCCTCTCCCCAGACTCTCTCCCTCTCTCCCTCTCTCTCCCTTTCTCCCTCCTTCCTCCCTCCCTCCCTCCTTCCTTTCCTTCCTTCTTTTTTTTTCACTTTGCTTAATATTGAATGTGGACTTTGGTCACATGGTCAAGGCCTGTCATGTGTACCTAGGTTGCCAGATGTTCTCCTTGGTCTCAGAAATTTCAACCATTCTAAGGTACCATTCTGTCCACTTGTACCACTAAATGCAGGCAGGTGTGCTGGGGGCCACATGGGGACCTCAGTGCTCTTGGCAGTACTGGGGTTTGAACTGAGGGCCTTGTGCTTGCTAGGCAGGTACTCTGCCACTTGAACCATACCTCCAGCTCTCTCAAGTGCTCTTTGTATGATGGTCTTCTTGAGACAGCAGACTTTGCTAGGGACTTTCTGCAAAACATCTCTTCTCACCATTATTAACCCAGCAAAACCAATATTCTTACTATTCCTACTTTACATGTGAGGACTTGGCTGTGGACAAAGTTGTTAAATAATGGTGCCTAGATTAAGACAATCTGCCTGACTCCAGACTTACCCAGCAGACTACAATGAGCATTTCTGGTTTTTTTTAAATGGGCATGTGGTTTACAAAGAAAAAGAACATAACAAAAATCACATTAGGTTCCATTTTCCTCTGTTTCAAAGTGCTTTGAGCTGCTTTCTAGGCCTAAGACAGTGCTGCTCCCAACACAGTGCTATGAGGCCCTGTGGAAATGATAAAATATGGCACAAAATGTGTTCCCTCCTGAAGCCCAGGAGTTAACTGGTCATTTCCCTTTATGTGGGCTGTCCCACTTAAAGCACACTACAGCACATCATTTGCATTTCATAGTCATTTGCTTCCTATAAGTAACAAAGACAGTAATACTTTATGCTTTGTTTATTTTCTGTTTATCCACAAAAAAAATTATTGGGGATTTCAATCATTCTTGCCCCACTTTTAGGTGAAATGCAGAAGTAATATGTCTATAAAAACAAAATTAAGATAATTTATGATCACAGTATTACAGGTAGATTAGAAATGTACTCAAATCCTTATCATTTATTGGAACAACTTTGAAAGTAATCAAGTAAAGTTTGGAGCAAGCATTTTGTATTCTTTTGTAAACTATTGTGCGATGATAATAAAAAATATATTATCTATTTTTTATTTACAGTATAATTCTTAGTTGTTCTCTACTCCACCAATACATTTTTATCATTTGGATATTTTTGGCTCAATGAAGGTCTTTATAGCATTGCAAATTTTTGCTTCAATCAACACACAGAATTATCTCATGGATGACTGAGTTATACACAGCTGCATTTATTCATCCATGGAGCCAGGGGACCTCATGTGATATCAGTCTAATAAGCTGAGGACAGCTGGCTATGTGAGGCTGAAGGTTAAGCAAAAGTCTTGAACTGGAGGTGTGGGAGGTAGCATTTAGAGGACAATAGAGACTACAGGAGAAGAGGAGATGGCTTAGAAACAGAGCGTAATGCATCCATAGCATTACTTCTCATAACATATATTGCTAGCAATTTGGTTACTAGAGGTAGAAATAATCTAGAAGATAGTGATTTCCAAGGAAGAAGGTAGGGTGAAATGCAGGGGCAATGTTTAAGTAAAAGGAGAGCATGAACTGGGCATGGTGGCTCATCACTGTAATCCCAGCTCCTCAGGAGGCAGAGATCTGAAGGATTGCAGATCGAGGCTAGCCCAGGCAAAAAGTTTTCAAGATCCCATCTCAACCAATAAAAAGCTGGTTGTGGTTTTGCATGCACCTGTCTTCTCAACTACACAAACAGCATAAATAGGAGGATCACAGTCCAGGTTAGCCTGAGCTTAAACATGAGACCCTATTTGAAAAATACTTAAAGCCAAAAGGGCTAGGGACATGGTTTAAGTAGTAGAGTGCCTGCCTAGCAAGTGCAAAGGCCCTGAGTTCAAATCCCCACAGTACTACCAAAAAATAAAAGAGGACATGAGTATATGAAGATTATAAAAAAATCCACCCAGGTAGAAAAAGAGTCTCTTCTTAAAAAAAAAAAGTGTTGTAAAGAGAATGATGGAGGGGGTGAATTCAAGTATGATATATTGTGAGAAATTTTGTAAATGTCACAATATATCCTCAGTATAAGAATAATTTTAAAAAGTGATGAATATCTCACATTGTTTATTTACTTATTTATTTTTGCAGTGCTAGGGACTGAACCCAGGGCTTTGCACATTCTAAGTGCTCTGTACCTAGGCAAGTGCTCTACCACTGAGATCTCCAGCCCACAAGGAGCTCCTTCTGATGGACCTTACCAATGCCTCTTGCCTACTACTTCCCCATTGTCTTACCCAGGCAAGTTGCGTAAGTATGACAGTGCCAGAAAGTGGACACTCAGCTTTTGTAAGGGAGAGGGGGTCATGGTCTGGAGATAGTCTTCCACTCTTAACTAGGCCAACTCCTCTCAACTAGGCCTTCCTAAAGAAGCCCCATGCTTGTGAGACTATCACGGCCAATGTCACCTCAGCTGCCACTGCTGCTCCCCCACTTCCTTCAAGCCTCCCATGCAGATGTTAACATAGTAGAAGGATCTTTGCTCTTGGAAGACAAGAAACCATTGTGTCCTCAATAGGGACTCATATCCCTATTGAGTCCCTGAATCAACAGATGTTGAAGCTTTCTCATTGAAGGAAGTATGCAGCCAGACAAGTCTGTCTGGCAGGGTTTTGGTGTGTTTGTGTTAGGTTCAGAGTCACTAGGTCAAGAAGAGACTTTGCTATCCACACAACTGAAGAGCAAGGATGGTGGCCAGGGGCGGATGCCACCCCTTCTCCTTTCTTATTTCCAAAGTAATATTTTTTGGATGAACACGTGGCATTTGTCCTTTCTTTTGTTAGTGTTTATTACTTGTACAAAGGGATTTTTGTGACATTTCCATACATGCATGTAATATGCTTTGATTCATATTCATTCCCTGTATTTCTCTTTATTCCCCCTTTTTCATACTTATTAATTTATGCTATTTTCATACATGCATATAATATACTTTGCTTGTAATCACCACTCCCTCCTATCACTCTCTCCTTTGGTGTCTGTCTTAAGCAAAGCACTCCACCAGTGAAGATGAAGATGCCGCTGTGGTTGTCTGACCTCAACAATTCCTCAATTGGAGGCAACAAGAAATTACTCCACTGGTTTCAGGGGAAAACTCCAGGGCCAAAACTTAACCTCAGGTTATCCCAGCTACATTTGCTCTTGCTTAAAGTGGAACCACCCAGACAGCTGTTAGCTCTTCTTGTTTAAGACTCTCCCTCCAGCCTCACTTAGCTGTGATTAGTTTAAAAAATATCAATCAACTGTAACCTTTTCAGATCAAGCTGGAAATAAAGACCCAGACTGTTTTTCACTGGATAGGCTTCAATGCCATCCATCAAAGACTATCACAGACTTCCAGACACCATGCTGTCACAATGATATTTTGGTGTGTGCCAAGCTTGAGAACTGAGTTTATGAAAACAATACAAAGGTTGACAAAATTCACTCCAAATACTTCCTTCCTCTTTCCCCAACCTGGCTGAAGACTTTAGTACTAAATCACAACAATAATCTTAAGGGATCTTTATTATTCAAAAAATAAATAAGATAGTCACAAGTTTACTCTGGAAACAATGGGGAGTGCAGGAAGATACAAGAGATTTCCTTTAAATACAGTCATTTCGTGATGAGGAGCAGGTAGGCTCAGAGCTCTTCTCCCTGCTCCTCACCATCATCCACAGTGCTGTAGATAGGGCCAGGGGAGAAATAAGACAACCTGTTAGCAACAGCCTGACTCTGTGTGTGTGTGTGTGTGTGTGTGTGTGTGTGTGAGAGAGAGAGAGAGAGAGAGAGAGAGAGAGAGAGAGAGAGAGAGAATATGAGTGTTAGGGTGATTGTAGGATACACTTCAGAGCCTGGCCTGGCCTCCTCCACAGGGACCCAGAGTCAACCATATCAGAACGTGAGCGGAGGTTCGCAGTTTCCCTTCTGCATCTTCACTGGTAAATCGAATCCATTATCCACTGAAAGACACTGCCCATAAGAAACAAAACTGAACTTGAACTTGGCTAATTATCTGCTGTTTCCCTGTTCATAAGGTCCTCCGGCTGTTTGCATCAGCGAGGCTGCTACTTCAGAATGTAAGCTCTTATGGAGCAGGGTCTCAGGATTTCCACCGCCCTGTATTTCACTTAGTCCAGCCCTACGTGCCAGGGGTGCATAATAAATAGTTCTCCGTGAGGAGGGTCCTAGGGTTATAAATAGGGGGCGCTCCTAACTGCTTTGCCGGCCCCGCCGCAGCCTGGGAGGTTGCACTGTTCAGAGTTTGAGTAGGCCAAAAGACGTGAAGCCTGTCCCGTGGCTCACTTGGCTTGGATCAGTCACATTCACAAACACCGAAGCGTCTGTTTGCAATTCAAATACTCCTCCCAAGTGAATGGATTGTTGCCCACAAGGTTTGGAGGAACTGTGGGTATTTGCCGCCCTGAGTAGGATTCTCTCCGATCCACCCGCGGACCTCAGACAGAGGCTGGCTATAAATGGAGTTTGCCTCGAAGGTTCCCGATTGGAACAGAAGGTGACTTGGGTGTAGATGTAATAGAATCCTTGTCGTTTAACGGTCAGCTGTTTTCCATTTTCAAGGGTTACCAAGTTGTTGCTCATGGTGTAATATCCTTTTTCAGCCCACTGTAGAACTGTAACAAAGAAGGGGACATTTGTGGTGAGGGGTAGCAGAGCATGGTGCACATTCTAACAGGAAATAGAGTTTAAGGTTGGCTGCTGGCTTTGTGTGGGAGTAAATTCTCAAGGTCTAGTCCTCAGAGTCATGAAGAAGTTATGGGTAACAAATTAGCATGAACTGTAGCCATATCCCAATCCAGGCTTTTTTGCAGATTTAGGCAAGTCACTTAATCTCCTAGCTTCAGTTTCCCCATCAGCAACCATATCTAATACTGTAGCACATTCCAGAGACTTGAGTTTCCCAAGTTATTAAAGCCAATTTGCCCTTGAATTTAAGAAAGTGCAAATGATTTCAAAATTCCACCTCATAAATTCCACATAGCAAATTATTCAGACAAAATCCTTGTTACTGTTAACATGGATGCCTTGCTTGCCTTGAATTTTACAGTCTAGAGTTGTCAGTCTACCTAGCTCAGCCTCAGCACAGAGAAAAGACCCCACTTCGTCTCACTTGGTTGTACTATTGCAAACATGAGCTGCCTCCCACAGCAAAGACTAAAATTATGCAAGGAAGTATGAAAATAAACTGTGTGTTCATTTCACCATGTGTTTTGATCTCCCATTGTAGTGGGCGCTACCAACTTGAAAGTACCTATATTCTTGTGGCTAAGCCAGAGTACCCACCAACAGTGTGCCATTTTCTCGGCTGAGATGTTGAGTGGGTTCAAAGTAGTGCGTGCACCCGATTTCAAATCTCAGCTTCCACACAGAGTTAGATTAGGTGGTAGGCGGGAGGACTGGGGTGAAGTGAAAGTATTGATGTATTTGCATCCTTGAATTTTTCAAAACTTTCTGTTTGGTGGTCTTATGTCTATCAAGGCACCAGATCCTACCAGTGAAGACTCATTTCTTAGTAACAGAGGTAACCCAACATGCCTGACAATTCTGGGCCCTCTAAACCACTCCAGAAGGGATGATTCCTTAAAGATGTTTTCACTTTTGGACCATTTGATCCAGAAAAAAAAGGGGAAGGTTCTCTATCTTTTAGTCCATTATGTTATTTTGTCAATTCTTTACTTAGTTTTAGTCCTTGCTATGCTGTGTACGTCAAGTTTGTAGCAGAATGACCAGGCAGGAATGAAAGATTTTAGACCGAAGTGGCCTGGTCCCCTGCAGACCTACTGTGATACAGACTATAAGATATTGTAGGACCAATAGCAGTTACAAGCCTTTTGGGAGAGTCCGAAATCCATGAAATATATATCCAAGAGCAAAGAATTAGGCACAGATGGGCAAAGACCAAAGGTAGATGATTCTAGACTTCTCTGTTGATGTCATCCAATGCAAAAGAGAAGGAAGGTGTCAAGTGAATGGTACATAGTTCCTTTGCGTGGCAATGTGGTTCTCCCATAAGTATGTTTACTGAGAAAAGGGTATATGGCAGAATTACTAAGTATTATAGGACTAAGTGGTATCAATGAGGGGTTTTATGTCACTCTTGACATCTAAGCCACAGTTATGTAAGCTAGGTAGTGGCACTTTGCATCAGTATAGTATAACCTTACAATGTAACTTGCTTCCACATTAGATGATTTGATACTCAAAGCCACCTGTGAAGTGGGTGAGGCAGGTAACTGTTTATAGTTAAAGGGACTAGTATCTTCTCTCTCTCCCTCTGATGAGAGAGAGAGAAAGAGAGAGAGAAGAACTCTAACACAGAGCACTGTGCCAAATTTTTCAGACTGCTCTGATGGTTTTGCCTTTATGTAGATAGAAGATTTTATGCTAACATACATGTTTCCATCCATTCATAGGTGTGACACACTCTCTGGAACCAGATTTTGCCAGATACAGATTTGGGGAAAAATTTGAGAGCTAGTAAAATGATGGCAGAACGTATATGGAAATAAAATCATTCAGAGTTGAAAAGATCACAGTCTGTCGTCTGTGTTACTTCATTGGAAAATCTAATGTCTTGGCACCTATTGATCTTTACAGAATGATTTTACCTTTAATTTCCCTGAGGTTGGCCCCAGCAAGGCTGGGGTTAATCATACATGGATTGACAGATGGCAGCAAAGATCCCCCGAGGCCCATTTACACACAGTTAAGGGGTTAGGAGGAGGGATGCTCCCAACAATGAGGTCACTACCTGCCATTTCTTTTCTGCTGTCAGAATAATGGTCTCTTCACCCAGTAATTCATCATTAGAATCAGCCATTGAGCAAGAACCTAATGAGAACATTGGGATTGTTTCCCACTTCCTTTTGTCCCGGTAAGTCTCATCTGTGCATTTGAGCTCCCTTTGAAGACAAAGGACAGTGTTTGAGAGGTGTATGGGCAAAGGTTTGTAAATTGGTCCCCAGAGAAGAGAGGAGCCTGATCATTAGGCTGTATTGCTTTGGTATCCCAGCTTTCCCCCTTGGCTGGCTGTCACTCAGACACTGTGGGACTTACCAGATGCTGTTTTACTACCGGCCTCACTTATGACATGTGCCACAATTTGAGGATCCTGATCACCTGAAATGAAACCAAAAGCAAACGGTCAGGCCAAGGAAACACAAAATTGCCCTCAGAACTATTTGGTTTAGCTCAACAATTGTGCACAGAGACGGTGCTAAAATAGGTTATATTATAGGAAGAATAAAATGGTCTGAAGTCCTTCCCACTGAAGGGAAAGTTAGTTTCTCATATCTTGAATTGGCTGTCTCCATTGATCCCATTTTCCTAATCATGGTTCAATACTCAATTCTACTTTACATAGGTCGACACAGGCTAAAACTACTGTCTTCATTAAACCTACCTTGAACCTTGCTTTTAGGAACAGTTCCCATGCACTGGGGTCTCCGTAGGCTCCATAGTTGTGTTTACACACTGAGCTAGTAAGATGCTATGGTGTCTGATTTGGCTACTATATTTTTTTGGTGGTACTGGGGTTTGAGCTCAGGCTTTGTACTTGTTCATCAGGCACTCTTCTTGAGCCACACCTTCAGCCCCTGGCCAAACTATTGAATCTATTTCTATTTCTTTTGTAGAAGGCTTGCTCCTTAATTAATATGCTGTTCTCCAAAGTATAGAAATTGTGGGGCAGTTTCTCTTTTCTAGTTATGAGCTTGGTGCTAAGAACTTTTCAGGTGTACTAGAAATGACTTTCTTATCATATGTGACCTGAACGAACAGTTTGGTTAACTTTATGACTTCCTGAAGCCCATTAGGCAGCATCCACACCAGTTATTTCCTCAAATTTCACTGTAATTAATGGACCACTCAACATATCTTGTAGTCATTCTGAAGATGAACCTTCATGGCAATCAGATGACCCATCAGCACTAAGGCAAGCTCTGAGCGCTCGGTTTGCCTTAGGAAATAGTATCTCTGTATATGTGTGTTTCTTTCTGTGTTATTAGATTTGCACAAACAATAGCATTGTGTTCAACCCTCCTTCCCTCCTCTGCTTCTCAAGTCACTTCAGGTATTTTTATGTTGGTTTTGGGGTGCTATATCCTAAAACAAGCAGTGAAAAGTGGTGTTTTCAGAAAAGGAGGTAACAGGGACAGGAAAAAGCCTGAAAAGGGTCATATGATGAATAGTGAAAGACACGAGGCATGTTTTGCTTGGGGAAGAAAAAGTTCCATCAAAGTTTGGGGGCGATGATTGCTGCCTCAATATCCGGACAGCTTCTGTGTAGAAGAGCAGTTATACTTTGTTTAGTATGGCCACGAAGAACAGAAGTGCATCCAGTGAGTAGAGACTACAGGAACAAGATTGGACTCGGGAGGAAAGACTTCTCTTGAGTAGTATATCAGGGTAATTATTAGAACTGCTCAAGGATAAACCAGGCTGTCTTATATCCTTAGACATGTTTGAGCAGAGGTCAGATGGTCAGTGCTGTTTTAAGGGAGATTCATGTTCTGGAGATTGTGCAGGATTTGAGAACCATCAAGTTCGCTTCCTAATCCCAAACTGTTTAGGATGCTCTGACTTCAAGAATAGGACAAAGATTAGAACGTTGTCACAATGTCACTTCTTGATCCCAAAGGATCTATTAGGCACTGTTCTCTGTGAAATTACTGCTACTGAGTAATGAATGCCACTTTCAGCAAATGATTACTTTCTGTCATCTCATTCTCTGAAGGTGGTGCCAGGCTGTGTGGCTGGCTGTTCAGATTGAAGTATTGAATATACTGAGATTTCTTCATATTTTTTTTTGGTGGTGATGGTACTGAGATTTGAACTCTGGGCTTCATGATTGCTGAGCAGGTGCTGTACCACTTGAGTCACTCTGCCAGCCCCATACTTGGTATTGTTAGCCTTATAGGAACATAGCTTTTTCCATAAATATGGACATATATAAAGTCATTCTGAATCCCAGAGACAGGGAAGGTGTCAATTTGATAATTGTCATCCTATTTTATTACTGGGGCTAGAAGTTTTTTGATTCAAAATGGATTATTCAACATAATCAGCCCTAAAGCTTCCTTTTAGTTTATAAGCATTCATAGAAATTGATAAACAGCAACCTACCTTTTTGCATTTCAAAGTTGTTTTCTTTTATCTTCTCTTTGCTTAGCACTATATTCTGAAAGAAGAATCAGTGCAAAAGGTCATTTTGACAGGAGCTCTGCTATGGGGTTTTAGAGGCATCATTCATTTGGCATCTGTCATTACTCTGTTGTCTATTTCTGGTGAGGATTATCATATACACTAAGATGCTTTCATTAATTCTGTCATACTGATTGGGAGCCCATGGCTCTGACAGATGAGCTGACAGCCAAGAAAACACAGGGGAGAATCTGGAAACAAAATCCAGGCCTTATTATCTCCATTCCAGTGCTCTTTCCAGACCAGAGGCTGTGATACTCACCCTTCCTATGACCCTGACCTCCCTGGCTTTGACAGGTATTGACAAATAATGGTGAATGGGGAAATGGTTCTACCCTGGGAACTGGTATATGGAGTATGATTAAACATAAAGCCTGTTGTGTATGTATTAGAATAAAAGTGCTCTGAAATCTCATAGGAAGAGACACCAGAAAGTTTGACCTTGGGAGAGAACTCTCAGACTATGGAAAGACCATTGAACATTTAAAATTGTTTCTCTTTTCAATGGATTTGAAAGATCCTCTTGTTGATGGTTGCTCCTTATGACCTACATTTATTGAGAATAATCAGGATTTAGGAAACGCAGCTTACTTTTCAATGCTGCTGATGTTCAAAGGCAAATATAACACTTCTTAGATTTCTTATTTATAAACTGATGGAATGCTAGAAGTACTTAAAGAAGCTAACAGGAACTTTCATCAGCAAAGACTGAAAAATGATAAAGGCTATTGCTGCTATTTTAAAGAGACTGAACAAAAGACTCAGAGTGCTTAACTGAGCAGTATGAGGTCACCCAAAGGCCCTAAAACTTAAACCAAAGGTAGAAAATAGGAGAACACATTCACAGGCCTGGCTCAGCTTGTTTCCTCACCCTGTATTCTGAACACAAGAGGGAAGACAGTGGTATTTCACATCTCCTGATAAAGTCCTGTGCTCCTTCACAATTCCTAGAATCCTCGGTCTACAGGGCCCTTCCTTTGCATTTCTGCCCTAGAAGGAATTTGTCTTGTTACTGTTGACTGTTTTGGCTGTAGGCTCAACTCAGTTGCCAGGTGTGAAAGTGTAAGTCAAAGAGCCCTAAAGGGAATCTGAGCCTCAAAACGCTCACATGGGCCTCAGAGCTTCAACTTTCCATTTGAGCTCAAGTGGCACACTATGAAAAGGCAGTGACAGGAAAATGTTTGTGAGATAATAAGTAAACAAATGACTATTTAGTGTCTTTTCAAAAACTGGTGTGTGATGATTGAGGTTGAGATACTTTAGGCTAGGTGGTTGCACTGGTGTCAGGGCCTGGCCAAGATGAAAACGTGAAGTCAGCAAAGTTTGTCTTTTATGCACCCAACCTTGCCTTTTTGTGAACTTTCCCCCAGCCACGCTCCCCAGAGTCTTTTTTTTTTCTTGTTTCACTCTCTACCTCAACTGAAAGACTTTTTAAAGTTGACTTTCAGAAAATGTGGGATTAGTTATTTCTTTCTCAGTGGGAACTCTATGTGGCAGTATGGACGGGTTGCCCTGTAACTTGAAAAGGAAATGCTTTGATGCCTTCAAAGGCATCTCCGGCACTGGTGGACAGAAAATTATAGAACTGACCATTCTAGCAAGGAGCAGGTGGGTAGTACATCTTAATGTGGAATCACGCTATTTGAAATGATGCTTCCACTTAGCCTAACTGAGCCCTGGATCCCTTCTTCTCCCCAAAGTGATAGCTTGGGGCTACCTGCCTCAGAAAATATAATGAGCTCCTTGTCACTAGAGGCGTTTAAACAAGATTGGGTAACCACTTGGTAAGGATACCGGAGAGAAGACTACAGTTCTGAGAATTGAGATTAGATTTGATAAATTCTAAGATCCCATCAAGCCCTGTGACTTGAAGCCCTGAAATAAAATCTTGAGGTTATTCTGGAGGACTCAGGTTGTGGCACAGAAAGAAAGCCTCTAGCTGAGAAAGCACAAATCCAATCTGGAGTTACTCTGTAGTTGATTTCTTGGGTTAAAAAAAAGTTCAAAATACTGTTTGAGAGTGAGAACTTCTGGGGAATGGCTGTTGGTGAATGGGGGCCAATTATTGGAAGATTGGGCAGCTGGGGGACTTTGGGTCTAGTTGATTTCTTGGGTTAAAAAAAAGTTCAAAATACTGTTTGAGAGTGAGAACTTCTGGGGAATGGCTGTTGGTGAATGGGAGCCAATTATTGGAAGATTGGGCAGCTGGGGGACTTTGGGTCTAACCATTGTGTACATCCCAGGTACAGATGGCACTGACCATGGTTCTACTCCTGCTGCAGTAGAGGTAAGGTGCAGATCACTGAGGTCCTGGGTGGCATGCCTGAAAAGGTGGGCCTTTTTAGAATATGAAACTTGGAGCTGTCACTGTTTTCATATAAGCAAACTGTTTTGCTTGCTCCTATCCTAGATAGATGATTCTGGAAGCTTTACACATCTGACCTAAAATAAGGGCATGAGGAATTGGTGGTTCAACTGTAAAACTCTCAGCAAGAAAGAGAGGGAAGGAAAAACATCCCAGCAACCCACTTCGCTGCCATTGGAGGGAACTGAAGGCTGATCGCATAATTACAGAATGTCAGATAGAATTACCCTTACGGATAATTTTAGCCATCTCATATTATACATGAGAAAACCAAGGTCCAGAAAGTTCAAGTTGATTGGCCAAGGTCACACAGCCGAGCACATTTGGTATGCTATTTGGATTATTAACCATTGATTAATACTGGGGAGTTTGAACTCAAGGCCTCATGCTTACTGGACAGGCGCTCTACCAATTGAACTACTCTGCCAGCCTAACTATTGTTTTGAATGTGACTTTATTCACATTAAATTTTGCAACATCTCCCAATACCTTATGTTGCTGGCCAGAATCCTGTAAGGACTGGAGAAACTGAAGTCAGTTTACATCTGGCAAGTAAAGGATTAGGAGGTTCATCTAAACCCTAGGTTAGTGTAAAGAACCCGAAAGCCAGTGGCAGTTTTGTTCCACATTCTGATCCCCGTGGGTGACTCAAAAATAAGCTCTTAGAGTCTTCACTAGTGGATTAAATGTGTTGTCACTTATCAGTGGCAATAAGGCAGACAGGAATAAGTTCAGAAATAAGGTGTTAAGCGCCTTATTCCTTTGTTACATCATACATTATCTGCATGTGAGGACTGATGTCTGTGGCTTTATTCAGGTGCCCACCCACCTGACTCAGAGCTGCACTCCTGGACACAACCCCTAAGTGAGCTGACAGCCAAAGGCACTGACTCAGTGTTTTGAGAGGGGAATGGGCAGAGGGATTGTTTGATGTTCTGTCTTGCGGAAAAAGAGCCCATTCACCTCATGTCTGTGGTGACCAAATTAATGAAAAAGTACTAAAATTTCTTATTTTAGGTACCCAGTATAGGCAACAGTCACTAGTGACTTTAAGCTGGCTGACAGCTTGATGGGTTTGAAGGCTTCGAACCTGCTCTGCCTTTGGTTAGTCATGGCTCTAGAGTAGACTGGCTTCATGGGCAAGTGGTATTATATGAAGTTTGGTTTGAGCAGCACTGAGAATGTCATCACCCATTCCCCGCACCTCTTTCTCACAGTAGGAGGGAAAGACTTCACTTCCACAGCACCTGAAGTGCCACCATCAGATAAGCACTGGAGACTGTGTCAGTCTTCAAGGATCCCTACACCTCCAATACCTTCACTTGTAGCCTGCCAACATGGCAGCTGCCAATGGCTACTAGTTTCCTGGAAAATGGGGATGACACATGGCTTCACAGTGGGAAAACATCAAAGTTTAGATGGAGAGATACAGAAATCCAAAAAAATTAACTTGGGCCTGGTGTGATGGTGCTTGCCTGAAATCCTAGCACTCTGGAGGCTGAGGCAAGGGGATTATGAGTTTGAGGCCAGCCCGGGCTACACAGCAAGACCTTCTCTCAAAAACATCAACCATGCCCCTGACAAAAAACTCTGTGTACTTCCTAACTTGGCTCAGTGGCAGCTATATATGTGACTTCACAAGTATGTGTGAATGCGCCCACCAGGGTGGGTATTTTTCTCCAGAAAGAGAGCCTTTTTTGTTCTTATCAGGTAGGAATGTGCACATTTCCAACTTTGCCTTTTACATAGAATTTTGGCTTCATTTTTGCTTTTTGTGATATGCACATATTCCTATCCATATACACGCATATCCTTACATGTATTTCTGTACATATGTGTGTATAGCAATTTTTTAAAACTTCTACATTGTTGAATTTTGGTTTCCCAATCCACAAAATGCGGTAAAACTTTTCAGTGACTTTTTCCAATAACCAAATGCCTTACCTCGACAAAGCCTTGAAACTGGCTTCTAATTTCTTCACAATTCAGCAAGGATAATGATCCTTCCCCTTTGTTGCATCTCTGTATCATTTTCATAAATACAAAATCCTCATGAAGATTCCTTTCATCTTCTATCTATTTTGAAATAACAAGGATATGAGAAATGTCATTTTGAAGAAGAATGCAGCTAATGACATCTGCCTCCACATTCACTTCCTTGGTGCCAACCAGAGGACGACTTTGGGAGCATAAATGGGAAATATTATAAGATATTATACTGAATTATTGCTATTTGGTACTTGCCATTTTAATATCTACAAAAGCCAGCGATTAAGAGGTCATATTACCTGCAATTCTAGGTAGAAATCACAGCTATTCTAAAGAACTGTTATCACAAAATGTATATTCGTTTCAATGTACCAGAGCAGCAATAGTCTATAATTGTCATAGGGTTCCCATCCGCCCATGACAGTTTTCTGCTGAGCTAATTTGCCCTTCATTTTAGTGTTCGTGATGTAGTACTTTCAAAAGAGTTAATTTCTGATGTGTGTTCATTAATTCGAGTTCTAATTATATCTCTCTCCTTTCTTAACTTTAGCATTTGTATAAAACATTTGCATTTTTAAACAAATCATTCCCATCCTGAAAGTTAACAACATATTTTCTTTCCCAATGTCTTTGTAATTAAATGTGTGGAATTCACTTGTGTCATCAACTAATTCCGTACCACTTTCTTGTTTTAAGAGTAGATTTTTAACATTTGACCCAAGGTCCAGTTAACTAGTGGCTTTGGCTGTCATCAAGGGCACGCCTAAATGTCATGGCATGTCTACCCAGCTCACTATTTTCCCCTTTGGAGGCCAGGCATTTGATCAAAAGAGTCTAGCAGGCCAAACACAAACAAACAAGTGACCAGGCCTGGAGCCCACCTCTTTCCTCAGCAGTGAAACCTAAAATTGAAGTAGCCTGATGGCTTACCTCCACCCTTGCTACCTGGCCTTAGCTAAGAGAAAACTTCATGACCTTGAATCTAGGTCTGCATTTCAAGAGAGGACAGCCAAGGGGCCCAGAGAAAATACAGTCACCCAGATGCTATGCCTGGTCACAGTTCCGTTTCCAGACTTTAAGGGACAGTTAGATACTTGATTAATTTTCTCCTTCATCTATGGTTGTGTTTTGTCAACAAAGCCAATAACGCCCCTCAATGGAAGTGGACAAATCCTGGGAACCAGAATCAATCCAGAAGCTAACTTTTCCAATAATGCAAAACGACTTGCTAAGTGACTCTCTCTGCTTTTGCTCCTGTAAATCCAGTCAGTTATGAACGGAAAACCTCTCAGCGCGACACTGAGCAACTTAATACAATTGGCATTTGAAGAATTATACAGACAGCAACATTTTTACTAAAAACTGCACATTTGGGAACTTGTCTTTGCTAATCTGAAGCACTGTGAAATTTCAGCTCAAATTGATGCTCCTTTTCTAGGTGGAAATTTAAAAGGAAAAAGTCTCCATTGGAAAAAAAATAGTTTGCTTTTTAAGTAAAACTTTAGAGAAGAATTACAGCTAGTGCTCACAAGCATTTACTGTGCTAGGCACTGTTTTAAGCACTCTGCAAGGCTAGGCTGATTTAATCTATGAGATGGGCACCATTCCCATTTCTCAGTTGTAGAAACTGAGGCATAGAAATGTAAATTGCCCAAGATCACAGAGTTGGTCAGGGCAGAGCCAAGATTTGAACCCTAGATTTGGACCCTTGAGTCTGACTCCAGATCCCAAGAATGTCACCAGAGGCAAGAATACGAGAGCCCACTGACTACAACACATACATTATGCCGTAAAACCCTTAATCTATTTTGGTTTCTACCATTATCCATCATTTGGGTAGAATTAAAATCCACCAAACCACAAATCAATAAGGACCCCAATTTAATTAATAAAGGCTTTGTTCATCTTACCTTGTCCAACCTTCTATGAAGATACACAGCAAAAAGTGCCGATCCAATCATCTGGGTGATAAGAAAAATTGTAAGTAAATACATAAAAACTTTCATGCCGATGGGCTGTCCAGTGGCCACAGATCGGGGAGAAGGTTGGCTGTACGTTTCGATCATGCTGGATTAAAGTTGAAATGGTATCTTCTGACCAAGAAGGTGGCAGAGGCAGCATGAGAAGACTGTCAAAGTGGCCACCTTACTCAGGATTAGTTAAGAGCGCACAATCGTCGCAGCCCACACTTCCTGGAAAATGTGCTTCGTAGTCTTCTCTCCCAGCAAAAAAAGTTACGTAAAGCTTTTTGTTGGTTTTTTTTTTTTTTAAATTACGCCCATATCATTCACTTCCAGGCTTTCCCTTTTGTTAGTAAAGAAGAAACAAGTTTCTTCTTCCGTACATTCATTCTTGCCTTGAAATGTCATAGACTTCTTAACAGACAATGGTAGTATTTTCCTATTGCTGTCTAACTTTTGGGGTTCGCCAGTTTCAAGGAAAGTGACAAATTAATCCACCAGCAATATACTTATTTCAATTTCAATCTTACTAATATAAAGCGGGAACTTGGTATCAAGGGAAAGAAACAAATATTAACAAAAATGTGGATTGATTTTACGATTGGTGTGCCAGTAGTAATTGCTAATTCTTGAATCTCTAAACTCAATGAAATCCCCAAAGCTTTGCAAGTCAAGACTACATACCACCAAGCACAAAAAAAGTCCTAACATTTATGAAATAAAAAAACAAAATTTGGCTGCAAAAGATAATGCAAGAAAAATAGTATCTTTTTTCAAAGGCAAAGGCAAGTAGGGTCTTTAGGGGAAATCAGGCCAAAACTTCTGGGACTTGAAGCGAAGTAGGAATAGTAGCTTGTTTTAGCCTTGTTACCTGTCAACGCTGATCTGTCAGATAACTGGTGTAGATGTAATGGTTCAGGAAAAGGAAAATGGGCTGCAGCTGAGAGACATGGATTCTAGTCTTTTCCCTATCAGTAAATTGCTCTGGGCCAGGACAAATCACTTTTTCCTCTCTAGACTTCGGTTTCCCTATAGCCCCCAGGCTGCTGTGAAGATAGGATAAAGATGTGCACCAAAGAGATTTGAACCATGTTTGGCAATAGATGACTCTCATCCCCTACTTTTTTAGAATTTGCTTAGCCTAAGATAGAAGTTTTCCAAATAATTGTTAGCTCTTTATATTACTGGTAAAAAAACAGACAGACAAACTGTATCATCAAAAGCACCTCGAGTCCGAGACCGTGGGTTGAATCATTGAGGTGTGCAGGATCACAGCTCTGAATGTCTTTTGTGCCATCTTATCAGATGGCCTTCCAACTAAATGCAGCTGTGGAAATCCCATGAAACTGTAATAAGATTGCTTTTGTGATTCCTATAAAATCGTTTTAGAAGACAAATAGGAAACTGCTCTGATAGGCATGCTGTCTGTGTAGTTAGCACCTGCTTTCTTCCCCTCCCACGCCCCGGCATCCTGTCCGGGGGCCCAGATCTGTGTAGCTTTTCACAATGTCTGCCAAGTAGTTGGCTTCAGTATATATGATAAGCTTGGATTAGTAAATCAGGGGTCTTGGTTCCTAGATGATTGGTCTGAGTTCTACTGAAGGAAAAATTATCAGGAGGGCCCAAATGACCTCAAGTCCTTCCCCAAGACCAGTTTCATACAATTACAGAATGCCCCAGTTGCAGGGGCCCTGCAAACATCCACTCAGCCAAGCCCAGAGGGAGAGGATGCCAAGGGATCACAGAGATGCAGACAACGTCAGAATCTGTTTATGTGACCAGCCTCAAGAAAGAGTGATGTCCAACCTCCCTGTCTCCCCTTCTTACTTTCCAGCCTCCTGCAGTCTGACTTCTGCCTACAAAATACCCCTGAAACTGCTCCTACTCTTACCAGTTCAATGATAATTTTGACTAAATACTTTTTAGAATTCATTTTTAGTGACGTCTCTGTTGACCTATTATTCTGTCGTCATCCTTCTGAATACTCTCCACCCTTGAATTCTGTACCACATATTCTTTCTCCCGTTTTGTTTTCCAGCTCTATTAAGGTGTAGTTGGAAAATATGAATTGTATGCATTTAAAGTGTACAATGTGGTGAAGTACTGATCCATTGTGAAATAATTAATCTTATTTTAACCAGTTATTTTATAGGCTCTCCATGACATGTCCTACTCAAACAATCCTAATTTAAGGTTCTCCCCTTATTTATACTCAAATATAAATTTGTTTCATACTCCAATTTTAGGAACTTATATCACCTAATTAATAATTCATTTTTCCTTGCCCAGCTCACAGGCCACTGAGCACTTTCTGCCTCTTAGAAAATCCTTCACCCCTTGAAACTTTGCTGTATTCCCTATCTACTCTTTCTTTCTTTTTCCTCTCCTTTCCTTCCTTTCCTCTTTCTTCACCGTTTTGAGTTGGAAATGCTCTCCTTATCTCAGTGAATGGTCTTACCAGGCACCAAATTGCCCAGGCCAGAGATCTAGGAATCAGCCATGATTCCCTCCTTTCTCTTACCCCAGATTGCAACCCAATTCCAGTAGCTTCTTCCTCCCCAAACCTTCATGACTGCTTTCACTTCTCATGATGAACCTGCCAACATCCCAATCCAGGCCACACAATCGTCTTTTGTGGTTTACTGCCATCCTAAATTTCTTCTTGTTTTCTTTCCTGCCCTGCCCCATCTATCTCTTCCACACTGCCAGCAGAATGTTAATTCCGAATCCTTTTGTTTTGTTTTTCCACATTTTTATTAGCATGTTAACTGCAATGTGTGTGCGTGGGTGTGGGGGAGTAGTTATTGTGATACTTCCATACACGTGTAAATTCCAAATCTTTTAAATAACCATATTATTTAATCTTAGTTGACCTCTTGAGACTCTATCTCAGACCCGAGGAAGCATACTGTCCTGTGCCCTGGCAGTTCAAGGTGAATGGCAAAAGCTCCAGAATGCCCTGCTTGTACTTTAATCAATGAAGCTTCCCCCTTTCTCCTGTCCTGTTTCTGCCCAGTCTTTTAGCATGATGCAACAGCTGGCTTCTTTTTCCAATTTCCAAGCTTCAGCTCCACTTTCTGCTATGTGGTTATATCAGAAGCCCTCTGTGTCAGACCCTCCTGTACCTACCTCTGTCCAGCAAGTAGTGGACTGGCCACTGTACTGGGTCCCCTGCCTAACACCTCCAGGAACAACTCTCAAGCTTAGTGTCCAGGAAAAGTCTAGCAGTACATAGTAGTACATAGAAGTACATAGAAGTGCCTGTGGCTAAAACCAAATACTGACCATCTTTTTCTTAATTGACAGAAAGAATCAATGATGTGATTTGTCTCATTTTTCAGTTATTTTTATCCAGAATTTTCTTAAATCTCTGCCATCCTTTTCTGTTGATGCTTATTTATTTATTTATTTGTAATAGTGGGGTTTGAACTCAGGATCTCTACCACTTGAGCCACTCCCTCCAGCCTCTGTTATTTTCTAGCTAGTAACTGATCTGTAGCAAACAAGTATTAAGGGAAAAATTTCTTCAAATGTATTATACTTCAACAACTTGTTTTGGTGTTTTGGTGTGAATATGCTTGTGGTTGTGATTTTATATAGATAACCTAGAACACAGTCATATTTTCTGCAAGGAAAATTATTTCCAGTATGTATGAAAGAGTTAAATTTATCAGTATTTTATTTGTTCTATGAAGAGCTTCACAAAGACTATTTTTTCCTTGAATATATCTGGAAGATTCACGCCTAGAGGATAAAGTCTTGATTCTTAGCATGACAAATGAGTTGACCCCTGCCCACACTTCTCTCTGCATCTTACACAATTCATTCCTGCTCAGCACTGCATATAAAGATATTAAGCAAGTTTTATTTTCCTAAATGTGCTGTGCTTATTCATGCTGTTCCCTGTTGATATCCTCAATCTTTTTGGGGGTGGGGACAGGTGATCTGCCACTTGAGCCACACCCCCAGCCCTTTTTGCTTTGGTACTTTTGAATAGGGTCTTGCATTTATACCCTGTCCAGCCTGCAGTGAGATCCTCCTAATTACACTTCCCACATAGCTGGGGTGACAGGTGCACACCACCATGCCCAGTGTTTTTTTAATTGGTTGAGAGGGTCTTCAGAACTTTTGCCCAGGTGGGCCTTGAACCTCCATCCTCCCACTCTCAGCCTCCTGAGTAGCTAGGATTACAGGCGTGAGCGTCTTTGCCCTGTTTGATTCCTTCATCTTTTATCCATTAATATTGAAGTGAAATACCCCCTCCCAGATGACAAGGTACCTTCTTCTGTGCTTAATTTATCATAGTACTTGCCATATATCATAACTGATTTTTCTGACAGTTTGTCATTCACTCCTAGAGGAATAAGACAAACTGTAAACATTTTTCAGAATCCTTGGCTCCCAACACATTGTAAAGAATTAGTAAATATTTGCCAAATTACTAAATTTTCTTTTAATAGGACAGAAGGGAAGTTGTAAAACACTTGAAGCTAGAAGCATAACACTGGCCAGCCTCTCTGAAGAAACAAATCAGAATGTATTTGTTTCAGATTTTCTTCCATTCCTTTAATTATTTCTTTTTCTTCTGGAGTCAGTTCCATTTGTTTATCTTGTTTCATTCTTTCACATTGACAGTTTTCCTGAAATGCCTGGTGATCCTTAGTTCTCTGGTCATATTTGTGACCAGAAAATCATCCTGATTATTATGGGTATTATGGGCTTCCTCTGCAATTGTGTTAACATGTTTCCCCTACAAGGTTTTCTCCAGAATGGGAGTGTGACTGTGTGGTTCTGTTTAAGTTGGGTAGCGCCTGTCAACAGACAGGTTTCTCTTTAAGTTATGTGGGTGGAGAGGCAGGAAGACTAGCGACCCCACAACTGATAAGGTAAGGAGGACTTTTCTCTGGGGGGGGAGACCTTTAGAGGCTTTCACTCTTGACTGATGTTGGTTTTCCTTTTGGGTTTTCTTTCCCATCTGCTCTGGAGGTCTCAGCACCCTCTCTAGAGCCCTCTCCAGACAACTTTAGCCCAAGGGCAAAAGTCAAATGCGGTTGCTAAGGAAAGGTCTGTAAGGGAAAGGAAGAGTAGGGGGAAGGGCCCACCTGTCCCAGCTGCTTTCACTGAAGCTCTTTAATGATAACCTTAATGAACTGCCTTCCAGCCCAT